TATAACGATAGTTGTTCATCCTGTCAATATCTTATCTGGTGTTGTTGACTGGATCTGGCCCTGACTTTTCCTTTTGGTGAAGTGCGATTTGTGAGGTGTCGTCTGCATGTATTATAACTCCGTTCTCTGTCCCTGGTGGTGGCGGGGTGTCACTTGAGTAGATGATGATGGGAAGTGGTTCATATTTTTCACCCCATTCCTCCCCTTACGGAACCTCCAAATACCCTGTGGTCACCTTCTGTTTTTTCCCCCAAAACATTTAAGTTATTGTGAAAAATAAACAATTGTGATCAGATGAAGAGAATATATTTATCACTTCTTCTATGAAGACCAAAAGCATAACAATCAATAACTGTATAACTATAACACTAAACTATAACATAACTATAAGAATTACCACAATGATGATAGCTTTTGAAATCATCCAGTTAGTAATTTCAAAGTCAAATTGAAAAGAAAGAAGGCACATTCTACCCTGCTGAGTCGAAATGAATAATAAAAACCTTAATTACTTCACATTTCTTCAATTTTCTTGAGAATTTTCCAACTTTTTACAGTCCGCCGCCGTGGGCCCCTGAAATATTGCCATGGGCCCCTGAAATATTTCCGTGGGCCCTTGGGGTGTTCATGGACCCTAGTTTGGAAGGGACACCACAGCCAGCCCTGAGGAACAACTGGCTATTTTGTTGTCTAGAAACCATCCTATCAGTCTTTTCTTCTTTATCTGTCTGTCTACCTGTCTATCCCTCCTGTCTGTGTCTCTACCTGTCTACCCCTCCTGCCTGCCTGTTTATCTTACTACCCCTCCTGTCTGTCTGCCTGTCTGTCTACCAGTTTACCTATCTGATTATCCTCTTATTTTTCTACTTCGTCATCCACTTTCCTAAAATCATATATATTTCCTTCTTCCTTTCCGTCTTCACTGTCTCCCTTCCTTGCATCCCTTCCTTTATTCTCCTGCTTCTTTGCCTCTCTGTCTTTCTCCCTGTCCAACGTGTCTTCCAGCTTGTCTCCCCTGCCCCCGACCGTGGGTGGGTGTGGTCATGAACGCGTCTTGGGGGTGGGGGGTGGCGGGGAGCCTGTGTACACCACCATGGACGTCCTCCTTCACCCAGGCTGCTGAAGAACTCTGTAATCTGGGTGATGGTGCTCTCATATACCTCGTGATGGCTCCCTCCCGCGCTTCTCTGTGTGGGAGGGGTGGAGGGGGAGAGGGAGGGAGAGAAGGAGGGGAGGGAAGGTTGTGGGAGGGGGGAAGAGGTAGGGAAGGGTGAAGGAAAGGGGGAACGAAGAAAGGAAGGGTAGAGGGAACAAGGAGGAAAGGAGGGGTAGAGGGAACAAGGAGGGGTAGAGGGAATGAGGGGAAAGGAGGGAGAGTGGAAGGAAAGGAAGTAAGGAACATATAGCCCGTGATGGCTCTCTCCTTCACCCCCATGTGTGGGAGGAAGGAAGGAGAGTAGGCAGAAACGTCCATCAGCGTGATGATTCCTTCCCATATGTTCCTGGCGAGAGAGAGAAAGAGAGGAGGGGAGGAAGAGAGAGGGAGAGATGAGAGACAAAGAAAAAGCACTTTACTCTGAGTTCGACGTAACACAAGCAGGGGAGAGGAGGAGGAGGAGGAGGGGGAAGAGGGATTACAAAAGAAACGCTGAGGCAGGGAGAACGGAAGAGAAGTTTAGGGAGAGATGGAAGAGAGATAGTGAGAGAGGGAGAGGGGGAAAGAGTGAGAGGAGAGAGAGAGAGAGAGAGAAAGAGAAGTTTAGGTGAGAGATGGAAGGGAGAGAGAGAGGGGAGAGGGGGAGAGAGTGAGGGAGGGAGGGAGAGAGAGAGAAAGAGAAGTTTAGTGAGAGATGGAAGGAAGAGATAGAGAGGGAGAGAGGGGAGAGAGTGAGGGAGGGAGGGAGAGAGAGAGAAAGAAGTTTAGTGAGAGAAGAAAGAAAGAAAGACAGAAAAGAAGAGAAGGAGGGAGGGGGCAGAGGGAAGGAGGGGGGTTGAGTCACAGTTAAATCCCCCCACAGTGGTAATAATCCCTTAATGTTGTTGGCAGGTGTTTTGAGGTCCGCTAGTAATCTGGCCGCTACACCTACGACCATGTATGTTTTGTGGAATGTGGAGGCTCAGGGCTATTAGGGGTTGGGAGACGGAGGGGACCCTTGAGAAAAAAAAAAACTTGGGTAGTAACCGTGTTAGCAGGTGTGTGTGTGTGTGTGTGTGTGTGTGGAGGGATCCCACCTTTCCTCTTCCTCCTCCTCCTCCTCTTCCTCCTTCTCCTCCTCCTCCTCCTCCTCCTCCTCCTCCTCCTCCTTCTCTCCTCCCTCTCCTCCATCCTCCTCCAATTCTCCTTCCCTCTCTGCCTCCCTCATAGCTACTTCTTCTTTTTCTTGTAGGGGGAGAGGAAGGGAGTGGGGTAGAGAGGGAGGTTGTGGGGTGGAGAAGTGAGTGTGGGGGAGAGAAACTATCAACTTAATGCATTAACCACAGTCATAATGCATCATACGGACGTAAACATTAACTGAATGTTAAACACTCAGTGAATTGAATATTAAAATAACCCTCCTCCTCCTCCTCCTCCTCCTCTTCCTCCTCCTCCTCTTCCTCCTCTTCCTCCTCATAACCCATAGTGACTGATAGACTCTACAATCTATCGGGTCAGAATCATACACCGAGAAACTCTATCTAGACAAACACATTCTCAAACCATTAATCAGGCCTCCATATCCACTCAGTCATACATTACCTCTAAAACTATAACAACATTCAAAATTAAAAACACTATAAGATTTAAAATATTACAATACCACATCAGATGACCTCGACTTGTACTATAAGGTTATGTGTTTTGTTTACCTGACAAGATAGACAGGTTAATCATCACATACCAGTCGTAATTAACACACCTTGTTGGGAAGATTCCAGGGGTAGGTGGGGGTATTTAGTCCCTGTGAGAGTAATCCCTGTGTATATAAGCGTTTCATAGGGGGATATTGCCTGTGTGTGTGTGTGAGTGTGTGTTGATCAGTGTGTCAACAACAGGAGGCTTGGTCACTGTGGACTTGTTGTTGCTTTGATCTCCTCTCCTGTCTGTTATCCACGACCCTGTCTGTCTGTCTGTCTGTCTATCTCATTCTCTGGCTGAATTTCTTTTTTTTGTCTGTCTATTCATCTACTGTATGTTTTGCATGTTTGTGTTTGCTTTGTTTGTAACTATCCATTTTTCTGTCTGTATCTGTCTACCTGTCTATGTATCTACGATTGTTTACCTGTCAATTTATCTAATCACCTGTCACTTCATTTCTCTACCTGTGTGTTTAAGTCATCCATCTCTCACCAGTTTGCGTCATTTACCAAGTTTATTTTTTCATCTTCTTCTTGATTATTGTTAATTCTCTCTTACATCTTTATTCTTCCCATTCTTAACATTGTCCTTTCCTCCCATTTCTCACTGTGTTCCTCTCATTCCACACACTGTTCTCTCTCATTCCTCACACTCTCCTCCTTCATTTCTCGCTGTCTTCCTCTCATTCCTCATTGCCTCCCTCTTTCGTAACTCACTCTTTATTCATTCCTCACACTGTCCTCTCTCATTCCTCTCTGTCTTCCTCTGTCATTCCTCACACTCTCCTACATTTCTCACTGTCTTTCTCTCTCATCCCTCACATTGTCTTCCTCTCTCATTCCTCACACTATTCTCCTATTCCTCACTGTCCACACCTCTCATTCCTCACCTTGTCAAAACGACGACCACAAACGAAGAAAAATAAATAATGACGTGTGTTATGGGGTCACCTCATACCACAGATGCTGTCTTAGTGTCAGATCAAAGTTCTTTCTTGTTTTAATGGTTCAATATATCGCCTTGTAATAATTAATGTTGCTTCATAGACCACAACACAGGGGGGGGGGGGTTGAACGATGGTGAATATAGTTAGTGTCTATTTAACGTACATTTGGTTAACGTAAACTAGATTAACGAATGCTCACTTAACGTACTGTACATTCAGTTAGCGTACAGGTTTTCAGGAACTTATCGTACACGTTAAACGGACACTTGATTACTACATTATCATCTGACTAATGCTGATAAGTTGTTAATACTCGTGTCTAACATTACCGTGGAGATCCTCAGCTTCCTGTCACCAATATTAAGGCTCTATAGTTATAAATATGTCTTGTTAACGTCAGTAGTTTAGTGTATGACGTAGAAGAAATATGTTTAGGTACCACATATTGCGTGTAACATGTCCCTGGAAGGTCGTGGTCAGCGTTACAAGTTAATGTGTGTGTGTGTGTGTGTGTGTGTGTGTGTGTGTGTGTGTGTGTGTGTGTGTGTGTGTGTGTGTGTGTGTGTGTGTAAACATTTTTCCCTTTGTGTATACGTATATAATGTATGTATGTGTTAGTTTATTTGTTTCTATGTACTTTATACTCATGTGTTTATTCACGAACATGTATAAAACATTTATATGTGTATGTGTGTATGTGTGTATGTCATCGCATTCAGACCTACATATGTACTTCTTTATCCCATCCCTGGACATCTTCCCAGCCTGTCAGTCTTCACCCATTTCCCCCGTTTCTCCTCTTCCCCATCTTCACAAGTTTTCCGTCTTTCTGTCACCTCCCTCCCTCCTTTCTCCCTCTCCTTCCTCCTCCTCCCAAGGATGAAATACTATTTCAGCCCCCCCCCCTTCCTGTCCTCCTCCTTCCTTCCTCCCTCCTCCCTCATTTCTTCTTCCCTCCTCCTTCATTTCCTGCCCCTCCTTCTTACCCCCCCCAAAAACACCTTATTTTTCCTCATTCTCACCACCTCCCCTTCCTCCCTCACTATCACCCCTTCACAGCCCCCTCACACTTACCACCTCCCCTTCCTCCCTCACTATCACCCCTTCACAACCCCATCACTCTTACCACCACCTCTTTCTCCCTCACTAACTTATAAGACTTTCATAACAGGAACAAACTCTGACCGTGTGTGTGTCTCTCTCTCGCCCCGCTAACAGCTATAATGCCGGGGGTGCTATGGGTCCGTGTGGTCCCCGACTGACCCCGCCGTTGAAGCGACCACGCCTGATGGTACCTAACCTGCGACAACAACCTCGAGCCCAGTCGCCAAAGAAGGTAGCCACCCCGGGTCTAGAGGACCTCAAGACATACAGTAAGTGAGCGACCTGTCTTACACCTCCACCTCTCCTTCCCTTCCTTCCTTCCTTCCTTCCTTCCTTCCTTCCTTCCTTCCTTCCTTCCTTCCTTCCTTCCTTCCTTCCTTCCTTCCTTCCTTCCCTCCCCTTAACCCCCAGCCTCTCACCCTCGCTCTTCATCACTGTGGCAATATACTTCGTAGTTGTGAGGTTAGTTTACTTCACGTAGTTGTGAGGTTAGTTTACTTCACGTAGTTGTGAGGTTAGTTTACTTCACGTAGTTGTGAGGTTAGTTTACTTCACGTAGTTGTGAGGTTAGTTTACTTCACGTAGTTGTGAGGTTAGTTTACTTCACGTAGTTGTGAGGTTAGTTTACTTCACGTAGTTGTGAGGTTAGTTTACTTCACGTAGTTGTGAGGTTAGTTTACTTCACGTAGTTGTGAGGTTAGTTTACTTCACGTAGCTGTGAGCTTAATTTAATTCACGTAGTTGTGGTTAGTTTACTTCACGTAGTTATGAGGTTAGTTTACTTCACGTAGTTGTGAGGTTAGTTTACTTCACGTAGTTGTGAGGTTAGTTTACTTCGCGTAGTTGTGGACTGATTCATATTTTCACAGATAGATTTTCCTTTCAGTTATAATTTAAAATTGTATTATTGAAGTAATAAATTTAATTATTAGTTTGAGAAATTAATTATTTAGGCTAATTTACATATTATTATGTACACAAATCAGATATGTTTGATTTATTCTGGCTTAAAAATATATTTATATAGTAATGGTTATATACTTAATTTAATATATTGTATACTAAAGTTAATTTATTTGGATATCATTAAGAATGCAGCCTTATATTGTCACTTAATAGATATTTGTATTTGTATGATAAAATTATTTCACTATTCTTGTAAAAAAAGGTTAAAGTTACTTAATATTAAAATTTATTATTATTGTTTATTTGTAAATGAAATAAGTTAATGAAATATTCTTTTAAGGGTTGTGAAGGATGAAGACATTATAAAGAGTTATATAGGCCGTGCTGAGAGCCAGAGTACTGTAGGTCACACATTGATTATTTTATATATTAATTTTGTATATTTTCTTCCGTTTAGTACAAAAAAACTTGGGCGTCTCAAAATAATGTATACGGTACATGTACACATTACCACCACCTCTCTGATGTACACATACCCTCCACATCATTAGATGTTGTACATGTACACATTACCTCTAGATGTTGTACATATTAGTAACATTGGATATGTTTAGTTACATAAGTCAGAGTTTATTTTCCAGCGTTAATACAACAGAATCAACCTTTATTCTTATTCACAATTACCAGTTTCTTCTGGACTTATTTAAGGAGTCTGTAAGTATGTCCGTATCCCTTATCTGTTCCTGCCAGGTTTCACTCACCCAGGCTGTGGTAAACTTGGCCCGCCTTCACTCAACACATCTCTCGCGTTTGATACAGTACGACAATTTTTCCCAACCTACCTCCATCGGATGAGTGACATATACGGCTCTCACTCCCAGCCTCCCCCTACCACCCCTCACCCTTTCTCCTGTATTTTTCTGTAATTTCCTGTGTATATTGTTCATCATATAGGACCTCACATCTCTGTACCGAGGCGTGCTATCCTCCCCCCCCCTCTCCCCCAGCACACTGTTGTCACCCCCAGACACATACATGTACCAGCACCCCTCCGGCCTCTCATATTTCATCCCCAGCACCTCGCCACACTCAAGCTTCCTCCCCTGCACTTGTCTTTCCTTGTCTGTAAAACTTCCAGCATTTTTAGATATCCTGACATAAAGTGATAATCTTCTCCCCCTCAAGATGCCAGACCAGCTGTGTTAGTGAGTCGCTATTCTCGTGAACAACTCCTTGTTGTTTTGATATATTTTCAGCATAAGTACACACACACACACACACACACACACACACACACACACACACACACACACACACACACACACACACACTACAGCTACAAAGGGGGATTAATGTCCAATTTCACATCGACAAGGTTCAGAATCGCATTATTCTTTCTGGACTTCTGAACCTTCCGACTACTGGAGGATAACTTAACCCACATTAAACAAAAACAAAAAACAAGAAACATAATAATTATTGCTTTTGGACCAAGTTAATTGATCTACAAGTTGATACACACAGTCGTCTGGGATAATACAGGTATGACACTCACCTGTGTGCCATTGAAAAAGTAATTAATAAACACGACAGAAGAACCACATCAGTACAGAAAGAATAACGAATTATATACATTAACATGTAAAGGGGGGGGGGGCTTACACCATACAGGTAGAAAGATGGCTTTGAACTAATTAACCAGGTAGACAGGTAGATGCATAGGTAGATAAGTAATTTAACAGGCAATTAAGTAGACTTGTAGGCTTGTTGAAAGATAAATAGGTAGATTGAATAGTATGGGGAAAAGAAGAGAAGATCTGCTGGTGAGAAGACAGGTAGACTAATTAGCCGTTGGACAGGTTTACAGGTAAATTAATCAAGCAGGTGTGAAGGTGACACTAACTACAACAACATTCCATAACTTGGTCCAGGCAGGTAATTTTCTTCCCTGGATGTTAAGAAAACGTATACGATAAATTAATATTGGGAAGTTTGGTCAGTGTAGTGTGGCGATGTGTCAGTGTAGTGTAGTGTGGGGATGTGTCAGTGTAGAGTAGTGTGGGGATGTGTCAGTATAGTGTGGGGATGTGTCAGTGTAGTGTGGGGATGTATCAGTGTAGTGTGGGGATGTGTCAGTGTAGTGTGGGGATGTGTCAGTGTAGTGTGGGGTTGTGCCAGTGTAGTGTGGGGATGTGTCAGGGTAGAGTAGCGTGGGGGATGTGTCAGGGTAGAGTAGCGTGGGGGATGTGTCAGTGTAGAGTCGCTTTGGGATGTGTCAGTGTAGAGTCGCGTGGGGATGTGTCAGTGTAGAGTAGCGTGTGGGGATGTGTCAGTATAGGCGCGTGGGGGATGTGTCAGTGTAGAGTCGTGGGGATGTGTCAGTATGTTGGGGATGTCAGTAGAGTAGCGTGGGGGATGTGTCAGTGTAGGAATCGCTTTGGGATGTGTCAGTGTAGAAATCGCGTGGGGATGTGTCAGTGTAGAGAGTAGCGTGGGGGATGTGTCAGTGTAGAGTCGCGTGGGGATGTGTCAGTATAACCTCTACATGACACTGATATAACTTCGAGTTCCATCACAGCCTTCGTCTACCTGCCAGACCTGAACAAAAATGGCATGGTTAGAGGGGATGAAATAGTTTGACCGAGCATTGGATGGGGTGGTGAGGTGTGAGGGAGAGGAAGGGAGGTGTGAGGAAGTGGAAGGGAGGTGTGAGAAGTGGAAGGGAGGTGTGAGAAGTGGAGGTTAGAGTTATGAAAGTGGGAGAGAGAGGGAGGTAGGTAGGTAGACGGAAGTGGGGAGGAAGAAGGTGGGGAAAGAGGATAGTGGGGGGGATCTGTCACGCCCATTCGCCTAAGAGAGGTTGGGTGGTGGGTGAGAGGAGGGAGGGTGATAATGGGGGGAGAGTGAGGGGTGTGGTGAGAGTAAGGGAGGGAGGGTGAGTGATGGGGGAGGGTGAAAATGATGGAGAGAGGAGGAGTGATGGAGGGTGGATGAGGAATGGAGGGAAGGTAAGGTCAGGACGGTGTGGGAGGTACAGTAACGTCTTGTTGTCACGGGCTGTTGTAGTCTCCTCTGTATATCTGTGTCATAGAGGAACAGAGTGAGTTCTGTTCTGGTGACGAGGGATGGCTGGTGATGAGGGATGGTTGGTGATGAGGGATGGTTGGTGACGTGGGATGGTTGGTGACGAGGGATGGTTGGTGATGGATGGCTGGTGATGAGGGATGGACTGTGATGAAGGGATGGTTGGTGATGAGGATGGCCAGGTGACGAGGATGATTGGTGATGAGGATGGTTGGTGATGAGGGACTGGCTGTGGTGACGTGGGATGGTTGGTGACGAGGATGGTTGGTGATGAGGGATGGCTGGTGATGAGGATGGTTGGTGATGAGGGATGGCTGAGTGACGAGGATGGCTGGTGATGAGGGATGGTTGGTGACGATGGGATGGTTGGTGATGAGGGATGGCTGGTGACGTGGGATGGTTGGTGACGAGGATGGATGAGGATGGCTGGTGATGAGGGATGGTTGGTGATGAGGGGATGGCTGGTGACGTGGGATGGCTGGTGATGAGGGATGGCTGGTGACGTGGGATGGTTGGTGATGAGGGATGGCTGGTGACGTGGGATGGTTGGTGACTGTGTGAGTACAGTAAGTTAGCCAGATGGTGCCTCCTGTTGAACGGCACTGGATTATCACTCACAAAAGCAACATTTCCATAACTGGCTGAGACAGAACCTGAGGTCTTGCCCTGGCATCTGTTGACATTGAGCAGTGCACGATCTCCAGTCCTTACTGTAATACTCTGAATTGGTTGTCCTGTAGGTGCCGCTCAGGTCGCAGTGAGAAAAAACAATAATAGCGACAATAAATACCAGATGAATGAAGACAACAAGACGGAAATCTCTTGCAAGTCTATCAAAGTTACAAGTAAGTAGTTCTCACTTCACATGTCCTAGAGGTCTCAGTCACGTACATCCTAACGTTGCTTGTTGCTACATGTTGCAGTATTTACACCCGAGTTCGTCCTCTCAAGTGGCAGTAGTCATACACAGCACCTGGTTGTTGTTGTTGATTTTTTTTTTTAGTGTAGAATCAGATACGATTTTGACAAGCAGCTGACTAATTTAGAACTTAGAAAAAAATCTATCAAGTGAGCTATACGTGGTCATATTTTTCCCCCCTTTTCTTTATTTTGATTTCCTTTTTTTCCTTGTGTGATATGTGTGTGTTTGTGTGTGTGTGTGTGTGTGTGTGTTCTGTGTGTTTGTCACGAATGCATTAAAATCCGGCAATAATATAGTTTTTTTTAATAGATGAATTAAAATGGTAAACTAGAGCTCAATAATTATTTCCATGACAATATTCTACAGTAACAACATGATGCTATGTGAGAGATCTTAATGATGATAATGTCTTTTCAGGGTGTAAATGAAACTAATAATCACGAAACTCATTTAACCTGAAGCGGGAATGAAATTAAAAGTTTGTTTCACCAGTTTAGAATTCGCTAAAACTGTAACTAATTAGCGTAGATAGTTTTAAAGTTATTAGCATTAAAATAGTGAAAGTTTGTGTTTCTGAGTCCACAGTCACCAAGCTTCGTAACAATGAAATTTATATTAAGTGAAGGTTGACTTAAACTAAAACACGAAAATAATTTATAAAAAAAAGCTTCAAAGTTAACACTGAGACTCTACCTTAACAAGATACATTCACTTAGCACCAGTTAAGAGACAAAATTAACACTGAGACCCTACCTTAACTAGATACATTCACTTAGCACCAGTTAGGAGACAAAATTAATCAGAGAATCTTTAATAAAATGAACGTATATTATTGATGCTGAATATTAATGTGATTCTTATGTTATTTAAAGAGATTACATAACAGAGAAACAACTGACTAGGTCTAATACAGTATACTCTCTGACATACCATCGCATGCGGGAGGGAGAGAAGGAGGGAGGGAAAGAAGAGACAGAGAGAGGAACAGAGAGGGATAGTGATAACCTTGTAAATATAAGAGGAAAATAATATAGATTTGCAGGAAAATACCAGTGGAAGACGAGAGAAAACAGTAGAAAAAAAAGAGAAGAACAAAAATTGGTTTAAGAGATAATAACATGGTAAATAATATCCCCTTCCCCCCCCAAAAAAAAAAATTATAATAATATTCCATTGTAAATATTCGTAAAGTACTAAATTAATATTCCATTGTAAATATTCGTAAAGTACTAAATTAATATTCCATTGTAAATATCCCCCAGAAAACTAAATCATTACAACGGAGTATCTAAAAAATTATTAAATTAATATTCATTGTAAATATCCATGCAAAATTACTAAATTAATATTCCGTTGTAAATATCCCCAAACTAAATCATTACAACGAATTATCCTAAAATTACTAAAAACGAAAAAAAAAGAAAAAATCGTGCGCAAGTAAGTGTCGCTAATGAATAACAAATTTAAAAAATAATTATGCACGAGGAAAACGACCCAATTAACCGTAAAAAAAGCGTCGTGTAGAGAAGGAAGTGATTGAATTAAGCAATATTAAGCCCCGAAAGCACCACTGGAGGATATTAATTAGACGTAAACATAGCTCCGGTATGAGAGCACCGCCCGTCCTAACTCTATACTATTTCTATACCACCGTGGCCTGGATTCTCTCTCTCTCTCTCTCTCTCTCTCTCTCTCTCTCTCTCTCTCTCCCTCTCTCCCTATTTTCCGTTCCTCCCTCCATTACCTTTCCTTTTCCCTTCCCCTTTTTCATTCCCTTTTCCCTCCCTCCCTCTTTCCCCCTCCCTCTTTTCCCTCCCTCCCTCTTTCCCCCTTCCTTCTTTTCCCCCTTCCTTCTTTTCCCTCCCTCCTCCCTCTCTCCCCTTGAGATGTGGGACAGTGAATATAAACAGTATGAGGGAGACACCGAGGATGTGAGAAGGTGGATATAAGCAATACACGAGGGATTAGCAAGTGAAGATTAGGGATCGTAAAGACGGGGGAGAAGGGCGGGAGGGGAGGAGAGGAGGTAGGTGGGAGAGGGAATGGGGTAGGTAGGAGAGCTAGGTGGATAGTGGGGGTCAGGGCGAGCACCTTCAACCATGCTACGGTGTATGACAAAATTACATACATTAATTCATTAGTCACAGCGAGGTTCTTTCCCAGGCAGCACAAGGGGTCAAAGAGCGCCTTGAGGGACAGAGAAGCTCCGCCATACCACTCTTGTAGGTACAACAGGACTACTTAATTCTTGTTGGGGATAATTCAAGCTTGAGGGGATATGGAACCAATTTGTAAAAGCGTTAAGTATGTGATTAAAGAAAACACACTGGTTAAGAGGCTTTGACACTTTTATAAATGAGTTTCAAACTAATTAGATGGTATTTAATCTAATTTTGTTTCGGTTTGACTTAGTTCAGCTGAGGTTTTAAAATATTTGATGATTTGTATTTTCTAGATTGACAGAATCAAAATTTCAGATACCGTTACATTGTACCAGTTATAATCGTTCACTTTTTATAAAAACACAGTTAAGTTTACGATGGGAAATACAAATTATGTATTGTAAAGAAAAAATTAATTAATCGTTTTTTAGATCCAGTTTTCATAATATATCTCGTTCATACTTTCTCATACTGTTAATGGGTACTTTCTCTTTGTAACTTGTGTACATTCTCTTCATAAGGATTTGTGTATTTTATCGAAAGAAATTGCTCTCGTTTTCAGACAATATTTAGTTACCGTCTCAATATAGTTTTCGGCACGTTCTCACTTGACTTAGTTTTGTTTAAATAGTATAATGAGCTTCAGGCAGTAATGATAATATTTTTCTCGTGGTGTTTATAAATATTTTCTGGCGGTGATTCTATAAATTTATCGCATCGACATGAAGGTCCCATGACTTCGACTGACGCCAGATGTACAGTACGATGACTGACCTGAACATACGACACCAGATGTACGATGACTGACCTGAACATACGACACCAGATGTACGATGACTGACCTGAACATACGACACCAGATGTACGATGACTGACATGAACATACGACACCAGATGTACGATGACTGACCTGAACATACGACACCAGATGTACGATATAAACTATCAGTCATCGATATTATTACACATAGACGCTATTTTAGTCTCTATATTATATTTAGTTATTAAACACGCCCATTACATTATAGATACTTTCTAATAGTGATATAACGAAGGGAGTGAGCCAATAGACGCATCCCGAATTTCACTTTTTTTATTTCAGTAATTATAGGTATTTTCTTGGAGTGATTTCATACAGGTTACTGATCTCGCGATGCTTTTATTTGTTTTGAGATTAATTTTACGATTCTTTTACATATCTCAGAAATATACTTACATATAACAGTGTTTAATGGCAGTTTTTAGTAATGTCAGATAGTGTTGCCGGCAGAAAATATGTTCGTAAGGGGTTTATATACATACATACATACAGTCAGTTAGATACATAGATATTAATTAGACTAGAGGATGACAATGCAGAACAAGAAATACAAAGAATTTATGTTATAGATGTTAGGGGGAAACTTATATAAAACAAAAGAGTAACCAAACTACACCAGATTGGATCCCTTATGATAGGTTCAGGAAAATGTATAAGTAAAAGAAGTTTATGAGAAGAAGTGAGACTTATAAAGAACTTAAAGAAGAAATACAAGGAGATAGATGATAATAAGAAAGGAAATAAACAGAACGATAAGAGAAATAAAACAGAAAAGACGACATAAATCGGATGAAACAATAAAACGCCATGACAATAAGCTCCTGTTTTAAGGCAAAAGAAGTAAAAGAGAGAGGTGGATAATAATAATGATAAATAAAATAAAAGTAAGAAACAAAAAGAATAAATAGTAAGAAGAGAGCAAGAGCACTTAGAGGAATATTAAAAGTTTATTGAAGAAGAATGGTGATTAATATACTGAAGTAGACGTAATTACAGTTTAGAATTACTTTAGATCTGATATTTTTTCTGTAGTTATATTAGACTAGTGAGTGAGTAGCGAGAAGCTTAACACAGCAGATGTGTGGCACGAGTATTGTACTAACCGACCAAACAACCTAACACATAAACCTAACCTACACTACTTAACAAAACCCTAACCTAACCTAACCTAACCTAACCAAACACACAAACATAACATGACGCTACAGTACAACACCTACAGTTATCAATAGACTACATACACATAAACACAACGCTATTTTCATCAGGACTACACAGGTATTTTCTTAGACATCTGAGGACAACAACAGCCTATAATACGTCTCGTTAACACCAACCATCCTTTCACCCCACATAGCCCCGGGTAGGGTGGTAGTGACGACAACACCTTAGCAGAGAGAGGTCGTGTGTCACCTTTGTCCACATTACCAGATATTATAATTTACTTAACCATAGATAAACTGATTCGTGATTTCTTGTATGTGTGACAAGAGCTGATCTATGGGGTGAGGGGAAGTGTGTACGGCTGGCTGGCTGGTGGTGATTATCTTGTTGTCACAGATGTTCGGTCTTCTTGTGTGTATCAGGCTTCTTTCTACACACACACACACACACACACACACACACATACACACACACACACACACACACACATACACACACACACACACAGGTTCTGCCCATAGTAACTGTATCTGTTATATAAATATGAACCTGTAATATAACAACATGCTTGGTGGTCCCATGTTATTGTCTGTGTTCTCCAGGCAGCAGTCACTACAACTTTGTGTCAGGACTTGAAAGAAGAGAAAAAAGTGTCATTTTCTTTGTCTTGTTGCTTACTTTATAATTACTCAGCAAATTTAGCCAGTTTCGTACTATGTATACCTTATGTATATTAAATTTTGTAGGGAGGAAGATTATAATAGGTTTATGTATATCACCTCTTACCACTGTTACCACATCATCACTACACACACACCCTTGCTAGTAGAATGTCCCCCACACGTAATACTCCCCGCTGTGGTCGTGTACTGTACTTGGTCAACCTGCAGTGGAGAGTGTTACATTTGACACAGGTGCCGTGGTCTTGCAAGATATCATTGCCACTTGACTATTGTCGTTTGATTATTTGGGTTGTCTTGGTAAAATACAGATATACAGGCGTACACAACACGTCTTGGTGAAATGCAGACATATACACGTACACTACACACACAGATGTACACACACACAGCCAGCCATCTACAAGAGCTTCCGTATAACTTCTTGCTAATCGGTATCACCCTTACTACTACCACAATTATTACTGTTACTCTCACTACCTCCATAACCACCACTACCACTATCCTTATAACCATTACGACTAACGTAAGCACTACCAACTTACTACTTACCATCATTACCACCACTATCACTACCACCACCATCACCACCGCTATTAACTTCACTCACACTACCACCACCACAATCCACAACCATCCCTTCACCACCCCTCCTTACCCCCTCTTCACCACCACCACCATCCCTTCACCACCACCATCCCTTCACCACTCACCCCATCACCAGCACCTCTCATCACTGACCATCATTACAGGTAGCCCGGACATCCTGATCTGTGGAAACTGCCGGGAGTTATTCTCTAACCTGGGTGACTTCATAGACCATCGCCGCACCTACTGTAAATTGAGATTCACCTGCAAGTGCTCCTCACACAACGGCGTCATGCGTGAGTACCTCTCCCTGTTGCCACTGTTATTTATTGTTTTCCCTCATTATCTTATCTCTCTCTCTATTCCTCTTCTTATTCTTATTATTCTCTCTTTTTTATATTCTCTCTTCATCAGCGTCACATATATGAATACCACTTCTCTTCATCTTCCTTTCTCATTTTTTCTATCTTTATTCCCAAGGTTTTTTTTATGCCTCTGCTACGTGATTTATTGATTAATTTTTCACTTGGCCCTCTTACGTCTGGTCAGTTCTCATTCAAATTTGTTAGGGAAAATTCAGTAAATATTATTAACTATTATGCTATGACTCTGTGTGTTATGGTGAGTTGTTTACAGTTTACAAGTTGTGTTATGGTGAGTAGTTTACAGTTTACAAGTTGTGTTATGGTGAGTTGTTTACAGTTTACATACACTTTCCACTTTCATTTTATTCTTGCATATAATTTCCTCCAATTATCGGGTATCGGTGTTAATAAGACAATGATACAATTCACTTTTAATTTAATAAACAATGTCTTGATCCATAATTAACTGGTTTAAATCACATGATATAGTTATTTTGTTCCATTGTAATGTTCTGTGTACACTCTGCCTACCAGTACACTCCGCTGAAGTGTTTAGTGAGACATTGAAACACAGTTATAGATCATTTGTTCTACTGCCCATTGTACTTTTAAATAGCTACACTTCAGTCTCTATATTGACTTGTGAACAGTGAGTGTGTTCTTCAGTGTACACTCAGCGCACAGGTACAGTTTAATGAAGTATTTATTGCAGTCTTGCCCTTAGTACAATCGATATAGTGCAGTCAGTTACTCGTTGTACATTCAATATTCATCCGCAGTAGAGTGTGTACAGTAATGCGCACATCCGTCACTTAGCCGCTGTACAGTGTGGTGTTGCTGGTACAGTACACAGTATACTGTTATTACACGACACTGGTGCTCAATCTACTTTGGATATGCGTTTAAAATGCTGTTGTGTGTGAAAGAGAGAGAGAGAGAGAGAGAGAGAGAGAGAGAGAGAGAGAGAGAGAGAGAGAGAGAGAATGCTTGTCCGAGTATGTGTCAGTGTGTGTGCTTGCCTGCTGCTAGTCTTGTTGTGTGTGTCTTTACCTTCATCAGTGTGTGTGTGTGTGTGTGTGTGTGTATTCGTGCGTGCGTAAGACCAACCTAGTAATTAAGGTAACTGGTCATTACACGTTCCAACTTGTCTAGTTTGTTATCTCCAAGCACCTGTTTAGGCAACTTAATTACGCTTCATTATCCAGCGACATTACTTGGAAAATTACATTTTTAATCTCCCCTAAGTGCCCCTTTAAGAGCGACTATTAATACGTCTGCGCGCGGGAAGAGGGAAAGGGGTGCCGGGCTGAACGGGGAAGTGGCTGGTCGGGGGGGAGCAGCAACACTAATTTGACGCCGCGCTTCGTGAAGGACGCTCAACTAAAACAGACAACCTTTCAGAATTTTCGTAATATACTCCTAAAAAATAAGGAAAAAAGACTAAATCGATGAGCATTAGATAATTACGATGTCGTTTCTTATACCTTGGGGTTTGAAGAGCATGGTTGAAAAAAAAAGGTGTGTTGTCAGTTTATAAATAATTTTTGTTGTTTTTGCCTTCACCCGGACCTCTCTCGTGATCCGTCCCTCTTAATCACCTGTCCACCTGCCTCCCTCTTTACATACAGACAGTGTATACATAGGCTACAAATATACATTCAGTACATTCATTCAAACGTATATAGAGATATTTGGAAAAAATAAACATTATATGTACCTCGTAATATATATATATATATATATATATATATATATATATATATATATATATATATATATATATATATATATATATATATATATATATATATATATATAGGCTTCATAAACTCATACATATGTACCTACATAGTGCATCTATCTACTTCTAAATACTGTATACACATATGAACACGTCTATATCTACTGAACTAATTATGACAGTAACATTAGCCGGGTAAACTCTACGGTACGGACTACCCACAGTTCACTTACTCCACACCTGCCGAAGCAGCGGAGGTCGGGCGTGTAGAACCTACTCAGGACACCCCGATCATTACTTAACTGTTCTATTTTAGTACATTTACTTCACTCCATAATATTTCCACTGTAAATATATATATATATATATATATATATATATATATATATATATATATATATATATATATATATATATATATATATATATATATATATATATATATATATATATATATATATATATATATATATATATATATATATATATATATATATATATATATATATTTCATGTACATCCACAATGAAAACGTGAATAAGATAAATCTTGATAAAATCACACGAGAAAAGGGGAAACAACGGAGCACCTTAGCTTTCGTCTTTATTCAAGACATCTGAAGATGTCTTGAATAAAGACGAAAGCTAAGGTGCTCCGTTGTTTCCCCTTTTCCCGTGTGATTTTATCAATATATATATATATATATATATATATATATATATATATATATATATATATATATATATATATATATATATATATATATATATATATAATGTTTCAAGGTATATATATATAATGTTTCAAGGTTTGTTCTCGTTTTTATTAATATGTAAAACCGCCGTAGATATTTTAAGTTTGAACCTTCAATAAAAAGTGGTCATTAGGTTAAAAGTATAAACGTAGAGTCGTGTTATTATGATGAAGTTTTAACAATAACATTCAGGGTTTAATCACATCACACGTTTTTCTCTCAAAAGTGTTAAAAACTGTACATGTAGGACGACCTAGTGAGGAAGATCAACACACTATTCGCAACTTTTAATAACGAGTAGTGTTTTACTAAGCCTTAATAACCTTTACATAAACCCTCCCTCGTAAATAACACACATAAAAAAAACTTAATTGAGGAGAAACATTACCCATTATTAGTCCCGTAACGGCGAGAGCTGCAGATATAAACTGTCTCTTTAAAGCCGTATAATAACCCTCTTATAAACGCCCCCACATAAACAGAAAAACTTAATTGCGGTGGAGTTTACTGAAGCAGCTGGCGGCCTCCCTCAACCTAGCGTGCCCGACACTCCTAAAATCACACGGGTGACAAAATTTACGCGGGAGGGAAATAACCCCGACGCAATTTGATAAGACTTGTGAAGCGCATCGTCCTGTGGCCATAATTCTTTCTTCTTCCTCCCCCAAGACGAGCGAGGTGTGTGTGTGTGTGTGTGTGTGTGTGTGTGTGTGTGTGTGTGTGTGTGTGTGTGTGTGTGTGTGTGTGTGTGTGTGTGTGCGTGTGTGTGTGTGTGTGTGTATGTCTACCACACACCAACACGTACTATTTACTTCATAATTTCTCACCGTGACTGATGTCTGCTGTCAATTCTGTATTGGGATGTATGACTTCATGTGTACATTATATTATATTAATATATCAATTTTATTAAATAAATAGAAATATAAACAAATCATCCGTTTGTTACCTGTGTGAGTGTGTGATACCCGCCACTCTCTCCCTGACCTTCCGCCCGGCCTCCCTGGCACGCCGCAGCCCGCCATTAGTAAAAATCTGCCGACTTATGTCAAACCAGACTATCGATCCATCGACTTTATAAGTGGCTGAACACTTTATTTCACATGACGGATGTATCGATTATACATAAATTTATTTCATCATTATACAATGTACAATATAATTACTCAATTATTTAAAGATTTGTACAGTTACCGATACCGGAAATAAGACAACTCCTCAAATACCCTTTAGAGGGCAGGAGGTTCTCTCACCTGAATAAAATGGTCTGGCGTTAACCAGAATAAAATACCTAAGGGCTGCACTCCTCTCTAAAGGTTGAGAACAGTAGTGCCCCGGGAACAATGTCAACACATTCCTCCCGCTACAGTTTAAATACCTAATTAAGAAATGTTTTCTCTTATCTCCAAAAAGTGAAAAATTTTACAAATGAATTTCTTAGATAATTCAGGCTAAGAACTCTTGTAAAGTAAGAATTCATGAAGAAATAACCTCCAGTTCTCTAGACGGAGGAACATCTCAGCCTCCCTGCGAGGCTTCATCACTTCTATAACCTTCCTGGTTGGTCGTATAATCCAATGTTCTCGTATTGATGGTCTTCTTAGGTCTTTTCCGGTCAGGCTGTCTTACGCTCTTATGGTCTTACGGTCTGGCTATCTTATGGTCTTGCGGTCTTACGGTCTGGCGGTGTTGCAGTTGTGTCCCTGTGGTGTTGTAGGTCTTGAATTAAACGCGAGGACCCATAACATAGATGAGAAGTAAGATCGAAGAAGGAAATTGGAATCAGTAAATACCACCCCATGCCGTGTATGTGTGTGTGTGTGTGTGTGTGTGTGTGTGTGTGTGTGTGTGTGTGTGTGTGTGTGTGTGTGTGTGTGTGTGTGTGTGTGTGTGTGTGTGTGTGTGTGTGTGTGTGTGTGTGTGTGTGTGTGTGTGTGTGTGTGTGTGTGTGTGTGTTAGATGAGCTTTATACGTTACCTGTTCAGTATAATGGTTACCTGGCGGACCTCAAGATTAGATTAATGTTGATCGATTGAGTTTGTTTGTTGATCAATCTACATTTTTTCGTCCAATCATCACAGCTAAAATAAATGAACTTTTGGGGACTATATTTCATAGCTATAAAAGGTAATAAACTTAATTTTAAGGGGTCAGTATTGGAGAAAGTTCAAGGTCACCGATTAAGGTCAATTTCACTCCTGACCACCTTACTCCCGACCACCGAACTCCCGACCACCGAACTCCCGACCGCAGACACCACCGACACGCCTCCCGACCACCGAACTCCCGACCACCGAACTCCCGATCTCCCGACCACCGAACTCCCGACCACCGAACTCCCGATCTCCCGACCACCGAACTCCCGACCACCGAACTCCTTACTCCCGACCGCCGACCACCGTACTCAGCGACAGTTTCAGGTCACGGTCAACAACCAGGGGAAGATGCTACAGTACACTCTGGCGATCAAAGATATGATGCAATTTGTAAGAAATTTTCAACGGCTAAATAAGATCACTTTCCTACAGCGACTACTATAATGACGGTTACCTTACTACAACGACCATCCTACTACAGCAACCATCCTACTACAGCAACCATCTTACTACAGCAACCATCTTACTACAGCAACCATCTTACTACAGCAACCATCTTACTACAGCAACCATCTTACTACAGCAACCATCTTACTACAGCAACCATCTTACTACAGCAACCATCCTACTACAGCAACCATCTTACTACAGCAACCATCTTACTACAGCAACCATCTTACTACAGCAACCATCCTACTACAGCAACCATCTTACTACAGCAACCATCTTACTACAGCAACCATCTTACTACAGCAACCATCTTACTTCAGCAACCATCTTACTACAGCAACCATCTTACTACAGCAACCATCTATTTACATTCTACAGCAACAATTATCTCTCTGTGTGAGAGTACTTAACTATCATTCCATAAAGAAAAGTCAAGAATAACTATAACAGTAGATGATAAACAGATAAACTCAAAAGAACAAACCCACCGACTGTGTGGTGTGTAGGAGAGTAAGGAGGTCGCAGGGCAAAACAAAACCGCATTTGTTTATAACCCGGGCGCTGATCCGCTTACCTCCCAAGGATCGGACCCCAGGACTGCGAGGCGGAAAAGAGTGCTAACAGTTTCCTTAAGATTGTTTATTATTGTTATTATTATTATTATTATTATTATTATTAGTATTATTATTATTTCCCTGGAGAGCAATTGGTTCCTTGTACACATTTGGACTTAGGTTAAGTAGCTGTCAGAATATATATATCTCCTTTGTGTCGAGCATAAATCGCGCTGGAAATGCTTATACTCCCGCTGTCTTCCCGCGATCGATATGCGTATGTTTTGTTTTATTTACTTTGTTTTACTTTGTTGTTTGTTGTTAGTTCCCAGCAGTAAGAGTACTAAAGGAGGCAGTGGTGTTTTGAATTTTATTATTTCTAAGAAGAAGGAAATAAAAATGATAAATAGTACTTGACCACTTAATAAAAACACACCTAACCACTCAGTAACACACTGACCACTCAGTAACACACCTGACCACTCAATAACACACCACCTGACCACTCAATAACACACCTGACCACTCAGTAACACACCTGACCATTCAGTAACACACCTGACCACTCAATAACACACCACCTGACCACTCAATAATAACACACCTGACCACTCAATAACACACCTGACCACTCAATAACACACCTGACCACTCAGTAACACACCTGACCATTCAATAACACACCTGACCACTCAATAACAACACACCTGACCACTCAATAACACACCTGACCACTCAATAACACACCTGACCAGCTCTGCTACAGTTCTAACTGATACTGCGCCCCTGGCAGGTACAGAGGAGAGTGCCCTGCTACTCTGCGCGCTCTGCAAGGAGAACTTCGCCTCTGCTTGGGACCTGATGGTACACGCCCAGGCTGCTCACATGGTCAACATCTATCAGTTGGGCTCCAAGGACGCCCTACAGGTCAGTTTCACAGTCGAACATCTTCCTTCCTTCCTTCCTTCCTTCCTTCCTTCCTTCCTTCCTTCCTTCCTTCCTTCCTTCCTTCATTCTTTTCCTTCCTTCCTTCACTTCCTTCCTTCACCCTTCCTTCCTTCTTCCTCCTTCCTTCCTTCCTTCATCTCCTTCCTTCCTTCCTTCCTTCCTTCCTTCCTCCTTCCTTCCTTCCTTCCTTCCTTCCTTCCTTCCTTCCTTCCCTCCTTCCTTCCTTCCTTCCTTCCTTCCTTCCTTCCTTCCTTCCTTCCTTCCTTCCATCCTTCCTTCCTTCCCTCCTTCCTTCCCTCCTCTTCCATTAGTGCTACATAGGTCACACATGTACCCATAATTCTTCCACCAGGTCACGCAGGTAAACGCAATACAAGTATCTACACGGACCATTAATTAACGACTCTTATTAAACCTTAACTAAATCTGTCATTTGTGCATTAATAAGACTTAATAATTCACGGTATTATGATGCTTTGTATGATAAATAATTTGCTACATATATTTAACCTAGAATTACTGCTTAATTTATAATGTTTATGAGATATAAGTCTTTTAGGTTTTCTGTACTTTGGGATTTATAAGACTCAGGAATTTACACCTTATTACTTTATAAGACTTGATGTTACTTGAATTTACACCCGTATGACATAATAAGACTCAATAATATATAATACTCTGTAATATATAATAATCAATAACACACAGTACTTAATAAGACTATCTAGTTCTGGAGTAAATGTGGGTATATAAGAAATAACCATAAGAAATAATATACACCTAAAAACCTCACCTTAGTCACCTGTACAGAGGACCACCACTGTCTTGTTTCACTCACTAATATACGTCATTAGAGTCGATTGTTTTTCCTGAGCCAGCCATCTGAGCCCTCCCTCCCTCCCTCCCTCCTCCCTCCCTCCCTCCCTCCCTCCCTCCCCTGAATACAGTACTCCATCACTCATAATGTCACATATTTACTAACACTCCCCCATTCCCCATTCCCTTTACCCATCTCCTAAACATACCCATAGCCTGGCCCATGTCCCTATTTCCATATCATACCATTTCCTTCAATTTATCATCTCTCATTCTGTTCATTTAATTTACCATCATATTTTCATCTTTTGTTATAATTATCATTTAAATATTTTAAGTCTGTATTCCTTTCCCTTCCTTTACCGCCTAAATTCTTCTTCTCTGGTAGGGCCTACTCAGATGACGGCTGTGTTTATTTTCTCTCTCTCTTTCTCTCACTTCTCTCGTTCCTTACTGAGATACCGTCACAGTCTCTCTCTCTCTCTCTCTCTCTCTCTCTCTCTCTCTCTCTCTCTCTCTCTCTCTCTCTCTCTCTCTCTCTCTCTCTCTCTCTCTCTCTCTCTCTCTCTTATAGTTCAGCCTCGGCACATTTCTCACCCTCACCAGGCCTGATCATTGAGGTATATTCCCCTCACCCCTCACCCCTCACCCCTCAACACGAATAACACCTCTCTCATTCCCCTCACACTTTACCAAATTTCCCCACTTCTTCCCCACTCCACACTTTAAATTTCCCTGCTTTTACTCACACCTACCTTCCCACCACTACACTTTTCTACTGTATTTCCCTCCACATCCTTCCCACTTCTCTCTACATCTCTAAGTTTCTCTCCTCTTCCTCCCCCAACAACTTCCTCCAAACATCACCCCTACCCACATCACCCCCACACATCACCCCTACCATGCCCATGCTCACATCACCTACCCATCACCCCTACACATCACCCCTACCCATCACCCCTACCCACATCTACCCCTACCCATCACCCCTACCCATCACCCCCCCTACCCACATCACCCTACCATACCCCTACCCACATCACCCCCTACCCACATCACCCCCTACCCACATCACTACCCACATCACTACCACATCACTCCTACCACATCACGCCCCACCCACATCACCCCTACCCACACATCACCCCTACCCACATCACCCCCTACCCACATCACCCACTACCCACATCACTCCATACTCACATCACCCCCTACCCCACCTCTCTTCTACAACTGAACTATACCTTCCCTCCACCTTCCCCCTACAGGATAGTGCCACGTGCAGCACGGCCGAGGACAGCACGGCAGGTAGTACGCCCGGCAGTGACCTGGGTGGCGACATGAGTACAGAGAGTAATGGAGGTGAGGCGAGTGGCGAGCCTGGCCAGTGTATCAAGGTGGACGAGGAAGCCCGCGCCGCCATGCCCAAGGAGGTAAGAACGCGACGCTGTTGAGGTGTAGTGGAGAGGAATAGTAAGCAAGTAGGAACAGACTAGGGGAGGTAGGGAGAGACTGAGGGAGGTAGGGAGAAACTGAGGGAGAGACTGAGGGAGGGAGGGAGAGAGAGAGTAATAGCTCCTAACCAAAACTTAACTCTACACGTGAACGCTCCTCGGCGCCCTTTACACCACAGAAATGTCGTTCACTTTTTCTCTCTGACTTTTTAACTGTTTTGTTCTACGCATCTACTAAAGAAAGGCAAAATATGTACTCAGCAGGGAGATTGTTCACACCCAACCTACATGACAGGTTTCATCAAGATCAGTCCTCCCGGTTCACAGATATTGAGTTAAAAGTCAAAATTCTTGACTCTTCTTTATGATTCTGAGAACGCCGTCGGTAAAGTTACTACGAGTGACTCCTTTGCCGTGTGATAATATGTCAACTGGAAAAAATTATAGATTAATGATAATTAGATAAACTATGGCACTCTGGATCCACACACAACACAACACAACACAACACAACACAACACAACACAACACAACACAACACAACACAACACAACACAACACAACACAACACAACACAACACAACAATATACCTTCAGCGTGAGTTACCAATCACTGCCATACTACAGCAGTCTGCACACACACACACACACACACACACACACACACACACACACACACACACACACACACACACACACACACACACACACACACACACACACACACCCACACACACACATATATATTAGCCGGGGTTATGTGTCAAGTTGATATAGAAACCTCACTCATTAATCCTTTGAACTATTAAACAAACAAACGCATTATTCTCATCTCCCACAATGATCTCAATGCCTGGGAAAGTCGAGCAGTGAGTGCCAGTGGATCATCTTCATTCAATAAACTTATTACCAACTGAAGAAACGGATCCATCCATCTCCTCTCTCTCCACCGTAACGAGACAGAGAATGACGTCCCTTTTCACACCAGAATGTTAGATGTTTCCTCTTCCCAGTCGACCTTATTCAAAGATGTTTTTCCAACCAGCTTTTGATGTCGACACAGTGAGGGTATGAGGGACTGGTGTGTTACTCATCAGCCAGGTAAAGCACTGGTGTTGTAACGTGTTGTAGTAGGTCTCTTTCTTAATTTCCCGTTAAGATCACATCCATCTCGGAGGACACATATTGGCTCTCTCTCTCTCTCTCTCTCTCTCTCTCTCTCTCTCACAGGGATCTAAGTTACAGATAATGCTTTAAGATCCACCCACCCACCAACCCACCTATCAACCCCTTCATTCACTCATCCATCCCTCCACATACTCCCCCCCTCCCCACCCACCCAGTGCCTCCCCCCATCACCTTCAAAACACGCTTGGTGAGGTAGTGTGCAATATTTCTTGGGGCCAATTCCCTGAGTGTTGCACTTCCATGAATTAACTGAGGGATCTGGAGGTCGTTGTGTCCCAGCCATTAGCCGGGATTGCAGCTAGGTGCGCCCTACTATGTATTAGTAATGAGAATTTAACACGTCTTAAATTTGCGGCTTATGACTTTCTTGCCGCCTAATCAGAGGTTGTGGAGCGCTAAGGAGTTTGTTCAGCTTCCTCAGTGTGAGCCTTGGGGGAGAGGGAGGAGGGGGGGGGGAGAAGGGGAGGAAATGGGGTAGGGGAGGTAGTGAGAGAAGGTGAAGAGGACTTATGCCTTATTCTAGATGTGTGTGTGTGTGTGTGTGTGTGAAATGTACGTATACACACTAGGGTGTAGTGCAGTTGATAGTGTAGTGGATATAGTGTAGTCACGGGTACCTCAGTTAGTAATATAAGTAATAATAATAACAGTAATTATTATTATTATTATTATTATTATTATTATTATTATTATTATTATTATCATTATTATTATTATTATTATTATTATTATTATTATTATTATTATTATTATTATCATTATTATTATTATTATTATTATTATTATTATTATTTACTTAGTAAATAATTCGTTGTAAACTAGAGAATAAGTTGTTTCTGGGACTCTTCTGAATGCCTCCGAGCAACTCATATGTGAACATTGAAAATTCCTCCTCACAACTTCGTCCCTCTATTGCAGAACGGTGTGGGAGGCGACGACGAGGGAGAAGGTAGCAGTGACCTGATGAACGGGGCGTCGCCTCTGCCCCAGCACGTGGAACTGGAACAGGGCGAGGTGGTAGTGACCCAGTGAGTCACCACCCCCGCACACCACACCCACCACACCTCACCACACCTTCCTGCTCCTCTCTCCTCTCCCCTAGCCTCTCCCACGCCTGTCTCTCTCACATCACCACTACGACAGTCAGAAAAACGTTGCTAAGTTGTTCATGACACCTTGTTGTCGGAACGTCAAGTCGTCAGCGACTTTGTGTGGCGTATAACTTGGGCCTTGTGGTTGACAGGAATAAATACCTAAACATTTTCCGGCAAAACAGTAGCCTATATCTTTTTGCAAACTATTGTGCATCTTTTTTTTCTTTTCCTGGATGTGTATTTTCTGTAATTTAGTTTCATACAATCAAAGTGTATGCATTCAGCAGTATTTTTCTTCAGAAAAAAAAACGAAATCACAATCAACAACATTATGGTCTCCAATAAGTAGCGATCCGAGCGCCTCTAGCGGCGAGTAGGTCGGCTCAAGGTCACGACATGCACAACTGCCTTAAGACTGACTTTACTCACACATAGCAACCATGGTTGTGCTCTTTGATCTGTTCATAAAAATCTTCCCCACTTCAAAACTCTCAGTTGTCGGATGGCGAAGTATTATATGTAGTGTAAGTGTAAAATTAGACTTCTGAAAAACTGTATCGGTATTTTGAGGGGGAAACATTCAACAGACGGGCAGTGAAGATCTCATGAGTGTGATCAATCCCCGTAGCTGTGTTGTTGTGGCCCTCCACGCTGCCGCCAGGGTCGCAACGGGACAAGAAGGGTCGCTGAAGGTCGCATAGGGTAGATGAGTTCATAGGAGGCCTTAAAGGTCGGTCGTCAGAGTCCACCACAAAACACTAAAGGTCGACAACAAAGACCCTTCACTTCCCACATCCAATCACACTTTTGATTCAAGCTTTCAGAGTGTTAGCAACAGTGAAGTGCTGCATCCTTAACATCAGTGAACTGCCGCACCTTGATAGCGGTGAAGTGTTGTACCCTGTGAGCGGTGAAGTCCCGTACCTCGGTAGCAATCAAGTATCGTGTACTGGTAGCAGTGAGAGATTTACACTGGTAGTGGAAAGGTATCGTACTTCGGTAGTGGTGAGATATCTTACCTTGGTGCCGGTAAAGAACTTTGCCCTTGTAGCAAACTATGAATAATCGTACCGTGATGAGCGATGAAGTACGACACCTCGCATGGTGTTCTTAGGTAGTGGTGATATATTGCACCTTGGTGGAAGGATTTCGGATCTTAGTATCAGGTATTGTACCTCGGTAGCAGTTAGAGGCAAGGTATCGCGCCCTGGCAGTGGTGAGGTTTAGCACCCTGGTAGAAGGGCATTGTACCCTAGTATCAGTGAGGTATCGTACCTAGATAGTGGTGAGGTATCACACCCTGGCATTGGTGAGATATTGTGCCCTGGTAGCGGTGTGGTCTAGTCTCATATTCTAGTCTACTTAGTATTTCAATTAAACTGTAACGTAGGTATGAAATACAAGAGAGTGGGCGTTTTGTGGTTATTACCAAGCTTGCGACAACTCTTCTTGTCACAACAAACAGGTGACCCACGACAGTCTTTAATTTACAAGGGTTTGTGTATTTTGTTCATGGTATAAGTGTAAAGAAAATGGATTAGAAATAATTTTGAAAACATATCGTAAGGGTTTTGTTTTCTTTTTCATCATAAGATTTTGTTTCTTAGTGGCAACATTTGTTAACATATTTACAACCGGGATCACATAAGGCGTCAGTATTATCAAAGATGATATGAGCAATCATTCAAATGCTGTGATGTGAACATTAGGGTAAATTTTGTCACTTTGAACATTACTAGACAACATAATAGATTAGATTCTTTTCATACGAATCTTTATAGAGTAAAGATTCTCTTATCAATCAAAGTCTAAAAAAAAAAAGACATGTTGTTGTAGAGATCTGTATTCTGTTCCGTACGTTTCCTTAAAGCATCAACGAAGACCCCAGCCCGGACTCTCAACACCGCCTGAACCTCAAGGATCTCTGGCAGCAAGGCTAACGAAGTTCGGCTGTGACGTCATGCATGTAAACATTAGAGAGATCCTAGTGCCTCTTCCACCAATCGCAGAACCTATTCAGTGTCGCCTGCGTGACGTCATATTTGATTACCGTCGGTCTCTGCCCTCACTCCTGCAGCCAGGGGAAATGAGTGACATTAGAAATGTAAAGGACCTGGTAGTGGACCTTGTTGACAGTGACAAATGTTGATAATTAGCTTAAAGGCTTGTGTAGTACAGAAGTACCGTAACTGAAAATGTTAATGACAATCGGTTTTCCATCGCTAATATTGGACTAGCATGACTAGTTTATGGATACTGTGGTAGTTGTTATTAATAACTCGGCCATATTGTTGGCTGTCTATTGTCATACATATCAAGGTTAGGTGTTAGGACAGTGCAACAGTTTGGGTATAGGGAGGGACGCTAGGAGTAACACTCTTGTGTGTGTGTGTCTGTGTAGGAGGAGTTAGGGAGGGGGGGGGGTCACAGTGCCAAAGGTATGCTAGACTCTTGCAAAAACTAAGTAGCCGTAGGACTCAACGGGGAATCCGTGCGGGGATAAATGCCCAATTAATAAATGGATTTAGAGGATCCAGTAGCATTGTAGGTCACTATAGATGCCCCTTTCTTACGGTTATGGTCAAAGCTGGCTCAGTCCCAAGAGTTCATGACAATCTGAGAGATATATCTCGTGACTTTATTTTGTCCTCGCACTCTCGCTCATGACTCTTGGCAGACAACCCGCTCAGAGTTATCGCTCAAGTGCTCATCAGGTTTTAAGTGTCGTGTCAGAGTTCGGGCCCAGTGTGGAAGACTTCTGCTTATCGAGGAATAAGATTTAATGAAGATCGCTGAAGATCGCCTTCGTTTCGTGTACAAATCTCTCAAATGATCTGTGAAGACATGGCTTTGTTGGTTGTTTAAAGGATAACTTTAGAATTAGGTACATATCATCAATCATGTCTTTGTCTTAGAGCTGCGGCCTCATCAGCTGTTATGTTTTTTGTCGGGTTGCAAGTCATTAGGAGTTTTATCTGTGCTGTGAAGAGGAAAACGAGCCATCCTGACCCCACCCGAGGCTCACAACAGCTGGTCGGGCCGCATGTAGTCCTAGAATCTATGTTGATTTGGAATTTGGATTGAAAACATACCCCTTTGTAGGTGTTAAGGGATAATGACAATAACTTAATGGGATATCGGTAGTTCTCCAATTTGAGGTATTTCTGATACAACTCCAGTTAAATGGTGCACAATTAGCGAATCTTGTAACTGGCGAACTGCCCAGTTTGTTAGCAGTCTCGACGGACCCTTGAGTCTCTTAGTCTCTTTTCATACAAAGTTGAGCGACCTTAATGCGTTCGAACTTTCTAAACTAGTCATAGAAATATATCATCGAACTTTCCTTTTTCTCCCTATATGTGATGAGGTCTTCAATTCTGGGCTTAAAGTGGGTTGATATAAAGATCCTCCTCCCTGGGCAACAGTAAGAGGAGATGGTGTTTGTCAACACCACAGATAATGCCGGGTGTTGGGGAGCTGCTCACACGCTGTTGTCTTGTACCCACATAGAAGGAAAGGATAGGGACAACTCAGTCTTTCTCTTAGTTACCCCAGTAGACGTGCTGTGGTGTTGCACCATATGCTAATATCCTCATGCGGCCATTCTTCTTTATCTCCTCCTGATTTGTTTCGCGAATCTGTGTTAGAAAAATATTTAAACATAGACCTAAAAATTGTATAAATGGAGTTAATGCTACACACACACACATACAGTATATATATATATATATATAAATATATATATATATATATATATATATATATATATATATATATATATATATATATATATATATATATATATATATATATATATATATATATATATATATATATATATATATATATATATATACTAAGCATGTGAATGAAGATACAAAAAATGCCAGAAGTAATATAGTGTATAATGGAAGTAGAATATAATTATTTACCTAATATACAGTGGTGTGTTTGCTGTCTTTCTAATACCATTTGAATATTATTACTAAATCTTACTTTTACAAGATGTACTGCCTTCAGATTTGCCCATTTTTTTAAACGTGCAATACTGTACATTTTCCATGTTGGGAGAACATGAACTTTTTTTTATAAATTGTTTTTCGCGAAACAATTGAAAAAGGAGAATGGCCTATTTTAAAATAGTTTTTAGTACTGTAACTCAACATTTTTACATGACCACTAATATTAAAGGAGGAGTTCCATGCGAAGGGGTTTCCTGTTTGAAAGATCTTGAACGCTGATAAACCAGAGTATTAATGATATCCAAATGGTGGGGCGGCAAGGCAGTTCAGGCTAGCCGCCAAAGTCAAGCTGGTCATTTGTAAGATCTACTTTAGTTGACCTGTGTTGGTGGAATTATTACAAAGGTGCTTTCTGCCCGATGGCTGCGGAGATGTGCGAATATTTATTGATATAATATCTTCCAGTCTTGTCCACTGCTTGTTGAACCGTCTGTCGATCATCTGTCTGCCTCACCATAGATAGAACCTAGGCCTCAACACCTTACATACAGACGCTGGCGACTGTACAAGTATCAAGGGTTTGTAATAAATGTGTAGCCATTGTTAACCCCTGGATAAGTCTGATGGCTCCTAAGGATATGCCTAAACTTTTGCAAATCAGTAAACATGTTGTAAATCCTTGTGTTTTCTAGAAAAACTATCCTTTGGTAATTTAGGTTGCTTTGCAAACAGGCGGTGGCCAGTCTTCTATTGTTACTCATTGAATGTCGCTCACTAATTTTCCGTTTTCTGTGTCAGTCTCGGAGTTGACATTGTGATCATAAAGATGACTGGAAGGTTTTGATAGTATTATAGTTTGTTTTGAACTTTTCCATACCTCAACTCATTAACACCATGAAACATTTAACTGTAAACTTATTGGCTATGATGCTTTTATTTGTCTCTATTTATTTTGACCTTTTTCAGAATACAGTAGATTGTGCTTCTTTATAGTACTCTCACTGATATTACCAGCAATAAGTCACATGCTGTAATAATTCGTGTCACGTGTAGGAGGGAAATGATTGATGATTATGTGGCCGGTAGGCAACTGTAAAGGCTTCCCGTGTCTAGAGGATAACGAAAAGTTATTTTATATATACGCATTCACCCTTGTCACAAGATGGCTTTATTGTGACAACTGTCAGATCATTGTACATTATAGCTTAGTGGAAGCCAACAATTGATACCAACTGCAACTTTCTCATTCACGAGAATTTCTTGAAAATGTGTTAAATTTAATTCAAGAAATCTATTGAGGGCCAATATTAATAACCTAAGACACCCTTTGTTCTCATCATATAAATTTGGAGATCCATACTTATTGAAATTATTTGGATTGGTCTCCAACCTCTCTCTCAAGATGTCATTCAGGACCTATTGTTTGCCGGTGGTCATATTTATATACAGTACTGTGTTAAGTGTATGTTATTATAATGAATGTTTTGTAACAGTTGGAAAGTAAAAATTGTTACGACTCCATTTGTTTCATTGCTTTCCTATGACTACACAAGTTAATATATATATGGTGACTTGAAACGGGAGTGACAGTATTGTAACTAATTCCTATTTCAGTCAAACTATTATAAACTACAAAGAGAAAGATCTCAAGCACCATAATAAACAGGGGTGGATCCAGGGGGGTGTCCTGGGGGACCAGGATCCCCCCTTTTTCATCAAAACATTCCAATACTTTTTCTTTAATGCAGTATTGTGCTCAGGCATTTTTGTATGCTAAAAAGTAATTACTATTAACCTCAGAATCTCTTAATATCAAGTGCACATGGCTTCAAAATGGCCTCAAAATGCCCGTGATATTGGTCAGATTTAAAAAAAAAAAATCTGCGGAGGCTTACAGCGCCTCCCGCAAAGCCCCCCCAAACTGGGTGGGGTCGCTGTGCTCGTCACGCTCCCCCACCCACCCTTTATTTATATTCCTGGATCTGCCCCTGCTAAATTAGCCTAAATAATGTCCACGAATATTTGTTAAAATTCTTAATAAATTCCTGTACCCCTAGATAACGATGACTACACTCTTTACTGTGAACCACTACTAATTTTGCCTAATGTATGATTATGGATGCTTTGTGGGCTTACAGGAAGATGTATGCCAAGTAAAGTCAGAGTGCAGAAGAGCTAACAAGGATCTGGGCTGGAGCAGTGGGGATTTTAAAGTGTCGACGGTGTTTAAAGTTGTAAGTCATCAAATCAAGGAGTATCTGTTTCGATTTTCAGTGTTACTTTTTACTTTACTTTTATCCTCTTCGCCACTGATCGGCTCGTTAGCCACTTGGGTGGTCGGTTACGTCTCATACACACTGGTGGCAGATACTGAGCATGCCTTGGCTTCTGAATATATTGGAACCTGCTCCAATGTTGGTCATTTCTGACCTTGAATGAGGTCAAACTTGGTGCCGTCACAACCGCTCTTCGACAGATTGTTCCAAGAGTTCACAATTCTCACTCCGAAAAAATTTGCCTTCACACTTTTCTGGACTTGTGGCTTTTTCAACCTTGAGCTGTAACCTCTTGTGGGGTGGACGTCCGCCAGCTCCAAGTATGTAATCAAAGGCAAAAGTCGTGTCGCGGTTTTGTCCGAAGATTAAATATAACTCTTGAAACATTACGAGAACTCCCTACCACAAGGAAGAGCGCACCAAAAGTTTTAGCTCTTCGGCATATGTTTTCGCCAAATTTCACGACACGACTTTTGTCTTTCATTGTACATTCGACTGAGTAGTGCCCCCTGAGATGTTAAACACTTCCATTAGGTCGCCCCTTGCCCGTCTGTAGTATAAGCTAGGTAGCTGCAGGCGCTCTAATCTCTCTGGGTAACTGAGGTTCCGGAGAGCAGGCACCAGTCTGGTGTCCCTCTTTGGATATTTTCAATCAATTGACAATCTATAGCATACCTCGGAGACCAGACGGGGTGACAATACTCCAGACGGGGAAGCACCTCACTCTTGAAGATCGTGACGAACAACAGACCATCCAGATATCTAAATGGCCTTCTTATAAGACGTACTAGTTTCGTTGCCTGATTCTGCCTGAATCACCTTCTTCTCACAATGGCCCGAGAACTTAAGCTCATTGTCGATATACACATCCAGGTCCTTCTCACAATCGGTCTCAATTAATGCAGTTCCTTCGTCCCGTTGGGACATGTAATACGCCTCCTTACTGTTGGTGCGACCCAGGTGCATCTTTTTACACTTTGTGACATTGAATCTTAGTAACCATTTCCTCGACCATTCTTGAAGCTCATAGAGATCTTTCTGTAGCTCTTCGCAGTTTGTGTGGTTCTTAATTTCCCTAAATAACTTGGCATCGTCCGCAAACATTTGTGTGGAGGAGTGTACAGCTTCTGGCATGTCATTAATGAAAAACAGTAATCTTCAAAAATACATACATGTGTTGGAAACTTTGTAATATACACCATGTGGTAATACTATTCTTACCATTTCATAATATCATTAAGTAAGTGCTGCAATTGTAGTAGTTAATTTTCGATCAAATACTTATCCAAATAGATATCTAAATTTATTTTCATTGTGATTGCTAACATAAAAAATCTAATACTCTATGTTGTTAAAAATAAGACAAAACTATTTTTTGTAGAAGTAAGTAGTAAAGAATACATCAAATTGTAAAAACAAAAAAAAAAACAAAAAAACTGTCTTCATGAACACGAGAGCTGCATCAAAATATATCCCAGCCAGCTGGCACGGCGTCACCATGATCACCATCTATTGTATAATATTGGGGTAGTTCATAGGGGCTCCTCGAGGATCACAACCCATAGAAAAACAAAAAAATGTGCTCTCTTAAACTTTCTGCCCCCAATGGAAGCCCCACTAAAAAAATGAGGTTTAACAGCTTTCTTAGGCTATCAATGGTTAAATGAACATACTCTTTGTCAGTTTTTCCACATTTCTTCTGTGTATGTATATATTGAACCAATGTGGACATGTGTGGCGATTTTACAGAATGAAACCAGGTAGTTTATTGTTGAACTCCACAATGACGTCACGGTTTGTTTATCTTCACTACGTCATCCTTCCCGGGTCCTCCTACCCTCGTCCCCGTCCCCGTCCTCGTCACGTCACTGAGTCAGTCATCACAGAAAGTGCGGCGTTTTGAAAGGGTTGGCTCAGTGTTGGTGTGAATTTTTCTTAAATGACGTTTCAAAGACTATCCAAGTTAGCCCTTGATGAAGACTTGAAGACTAGACTCTCGAGGTCACCTTTAAAGACAGTTAAAGTGAGTATGTGTGGAATTGTGTTGATCGAACATGTATTATGAGTTCACTCAATTTGTATGTAAGAAAACATCTTGGTTGAGGAAACCTGTGATACGTCTGAAAATATCAAGGATAATATCAGCTCTTATGATGAATTGATTTATGGAAATTGTCAAATTCCACAACTCGTGACAGCCTTTTTTTTTACATTGATAAATATTTTTTTATAGAAAAACCGGTGGTAATACTGAAAGACAGTAAAAAAACTGCATATTTTTACCTTATTTACCTAAGGCAGTGAATATTTTGTCGTGACTGGCTAAGTTCCTAACCATATTTCTGTTGTGCATGGAAACTTATCATTATAAAAGAGGCGACATTAACTAACTTGACCTAACCAACCAAAGAAACCTACCTAACTTCCTAGCCAGGGGGCTGACCCCCCTGTCATATTAAGCAGAAAGTACTTAGTCAATCAGAGCGCCCTCAGGGTGAAATAGCGTTAGTGGGATCTTAGCCGGTCACGGCAAAATATCCACTACGTTTACCTAATGGCCACCCATTAAATGTGGCCATATCAAAGGATGGTGGCCAGTGGCCTGTGTAGGATTCCTTCATTATTGGTGATAGTCTTGTCTCGGGCAATTTTAGGTAAACTTTTGTTTTATGCCCTAATGGAAATGCTATTACAAAAATAGGTAAAACTTCAGTTTTGGACAATACGCCTTATTAGAGCAATTTGCTTTCCCAATGTTTTTTCTTCATTCCCATCTGAAATTCCCCAAGAGCTCACAACTCTAATTCATAATTATTGAGTTATGATCCTTCCTACCCTGTCAATATTGACCCCACCTTTGCTTCAAAATAGAGGGAAAAGTGAAATTAAAAAGAACCTAACCTAATCTGGTCCTTGTACTCACCGACTGGGCAAGAGGGCCAGGGGAAGGCAGAGACTAGGGTGGATGAATGAAATTAAAAACTGGGTCCTTAGACATACAAAACCTTGGAGGATTGGTAAAAATAGCCCAAGAATGTTTATATTGGAGGACTGTGGTCGCCAACCCTCAGATATGAGGAGGGTACTCTGATATTATTTAACATCACTTTATTTACAGGTATTTATATTATTTGTTATATATGGAATATTATTATTTTTTATGGTCAGGGACTCAGTGTTGTGTTTTAACCTAACCCATGGAATTAACACTGTTCTCACTCACAAACAGATCGACTTACGAACTGGGTCCAAGAAAGTAGCCCGATCGAAATTTGGGGACCGTCTACTGTATTCTAGTATTATCCAACCTATCCTAGGATATAAGTACATTTTGTAAGTGATGTTACTAGGTTAGTTACCAACTACTGCTACATCATATGAGGCGTCCCGCATTGTATGGGTTATTTGCACCAAAATTTGAAATCGACAGAACCACGTTTAAAGTTTTTCCAACTTCAAACATGCATAACTTTCTTTTTTTTTTAGATACATCACTCATTTTGATGCATTGTGAAGCTAAGGGACTGTACTTGCAGGTGGTAGGTAGCGCATCATGAAGTAATGTACTGAGTTGTTGCAATGTTGACTTGAAGCAACAAAACTCCCACCTGCTTATGGCTTTTTTACTTTAACCGATATCAGAGTGTAGATCCCGCCACAACAAAGGAGAATTGAGGGATTCCGCCTCATTGGCTGGAGGGGCTGTGACGTAGATAGTAGACGCTCACTGTCATTGGCCAAGATGGGGTAGGAGGCTGTAGGCCGGCCGCTGTGATTGGCCGCCCGCTCCTCTCACTCACTCACTGACGGGATGAGAGAGCACCCGATGACACGAAAGCCAAGCCCATAATTTCCTGCCTGCTACAAATCGACGTTCTACCATATTTTCAAAGGGCTTTCAACCTTATTTACAGTGTAGTGAGGAGATCTTATCAACTACCATCATATAGAGCTAGGCCGAAAATAGTGCTTTCCAACAAAAAAGGATTTCGCCCGGATGGTCTGAATGCACCTTACGGTACGAGACGCCTCATATATTTAGGTATGGAAAGGTCACTGGGAAGCAAGAGGGTTAATTGTAGCTTTCCCTGCCATCACATGTTAAACATACTGAGAGAGGAAGAATTATCATGGCCTGTTTAAAGCTAGCTCAGAGCCACTGGTTGTAAAGATGTACAGTATATTACTGTACTAATCTGTATAAAGTATCCTCCAATTGAACCGCTAGATAGAATAATAAATGAGCTTCAAAGGGTGTGCTTATTAAGAGGTTAAATTCACTGTACACTGGCTGAGCCTAAAGGTTAACATAAACAGATGAGAGGAAATTGATGAGCTTTCTTTATTGAAAATATTAAAGATTCAGTTGTTATTACTGCTAATAAACCCACATCCGTGAGAGCCAAGTGAAGCCTCATAAATAACCCTTCGAATTTGGAGTCTCAAATTTCTGGGTTAACACCACAGGGTTCCTACCAACATTAAACTACTGTACTAAAAATTCTCTTTCTATACTGTCACCTTAAACAAATCAAAGGAAGAAAACATTAGACAGACAATATTTGGTGTTTATGCTAATTCTCCCATGTACTGACAACAATTTCAGGATGTGTTGTCATTGTCTCCCCTGGAAGTGATGAACCTGCTACATATGAGTGCTGCTGAGTGCAAACTCTTCATGGATCACTTATATAATGTCTGTGTTCCCAAGCATTTGACTGTAAGCCCATAAATGTTTTATTTGTATTACTATTATCAAATTGCTGCTTATTAAAAGAATTTCCTAAAATTCCTTTAAACATATCTCTGCCTGGAATTCCATTTCCACTTTACATCATATTACCTAATTCATCCTTGTAATCATAAAGATGTTTCTGCAGGCCTTTGATCTTAGCCAGGATGAGGACAAAAACAGTTTCAGGCTGGGAAATACAGTACTGGATACCTTGCTGCATGGTGGACTTCAATCAGGCACTCTTACAGAATTTGCTGGTGGGTTCTTTAGGTAGCTAGATATAATGTAACTTACTGTGTGTGTAATTTTGAAAAGTTTACCCCCAATTAATTTAGACCAAGTAAATACTGTATACAGTAATTAGATAAGAAGATCTTTGAATTCAGTGATTTCTTTTATTTTGTTCTACATAACTTGTGGATTATAAATGAATGAATGACCCACAGAATCTGAGAGTATGCTTACTTATTTAACTGATCAAATATAAGAATAGATAGCAACTCATAGCTTTGTTGGTTACTGAGATGAGGGTTAATAATTTCTGGTAGTGACTAGTTACTCATTATATTATTTTCTCAGTCCTGCATTGCCCCAGTAGGGAAAATACTTTTAAGCTATCCGGCTTTTCGGCCGGATATCTGGCTTTTTTTTTTTATTACGATGCAATGTGGTTCTCTTACCCGCGTGTTTGTGCTTACGAATTTGTTGCTCCTGGGTTATGAATTGAACGATATAACCCATTTACTATCTTGTGATTTTGCCTATTTCTCAATTTGTGGTGATGGGAGGTTATGCTATATCTAATTGGTTCTAGAACCTTGATAGATTGCATTAATTAGATTGAGATTAATCAGATTGGGCTAAATACAACCATAACACTGAAAAATATAATATAAAATTGTAAAAATTGTAAAAAAGTGCATAAATATGCATCTAAACCCCTGAAATAAAGAATATCATTAATATTTGTAATAAAAAAACAATAAATTAGAAAAAAAAAAATTTAAATAATGTTAGTTGTAGGAGTTTCGTTCGTTATAGCATTCTCAATTTTATAGGTAAAACCATTCGTTATAGGAATATTCGTAGTAGGATCCGTTCGTTATAGCATACCCCACTGTATTAACTGTGAATATAGTAAAGAAGAATATCAACAAGAAGCGTTCTGGTGATAGAATTCCCGGTGATGATGTCAATAAAGAAGAGATATACTCTTTTGAAGAAACCGATTTTATCAACCCTCTAAAATCTTCTCACATCAAGTAGATATTTACATTTACTGTATGATTTCCACATTAATAGATATAGATGTAACATTTATTTAGACTATTAACTATCATGTGTTGGAGCTAACTTCTTTTTCGTTTTGATTTAGTAATCTTTTTAACTATCTTTACTGTCATATTTCTTTATTTCTATTACGCGATTTTCTATAACACGATATTTTACAAGAAGACAATTATCGTGTTATAGCAGAACTACCTGTACTGTATTGCCAAAAATTAATGTCTATTACTTAACTAGCTAAACTTTTTCATTAAATGAGAGAGAGAGAGAGTGGGTATGGTGGAAAACCTATTTTATCACAATTTGAATATATTTGTTAGTGAAAAGAAATGATGTAAGGAATAAACGTGAATCTTCACTTTTTAATATAAAATATTAGTTTACATTTGTGATTTTGTTATGAAATGTTTCTTTTTTCATTCATATTCATTGAGAACACACTGTAGAGCGATATCTCAGGATCTTTATAATGAAAAACATGATAATATTACCTGAATTTGAACTTATTTTATTGTTAAATAGATCGGTTTCTCGGCTTGTTTACCAAGTTGTAAATAAAATGAAATTCCTTTTCAATGTGTAAAAATTTAATTGCAAAAGTCATCAAGCTGTGAAGGTCATTATTGTTAAAAGGGAAGTTACAATAACAGATTAAATTCCATAATTTGTTCTTCCTGCTGTATTCATACCAGATAAAAAGGTGATTAGTTGAATGATTGTCATTAGTTAATTGTAGATTTGACATTTGTTTGGGGATATTAATCATGCTATTTCTCATGAGTAGTGTGAGGCTTTAGAGGTCATGTTGTTACAGGATCTGCTGGAGCTGGTAAGACACAGTGGTGTCTGTACCTGGCCGTCCTGGCTGTCACACCCAAAAAACACCGGTCCCGTAATATTACAGCCATATATATTGACACAGAATCAGCCTTTAGACCTGAAAGGTGAGTACGTATAGCAATCATTATTTCTGGGTTGAAGAATAAACTAAATGTGTTTTGAGTGTAATTTTTTTTTTATCTCAAACCAGTCATCCCAAAAGTTTTCAACTTCATAGACTAGCAAAGTAAAAGAAATAAATGGACCATTAATTGTATAAACAGTACAGTATTTTATATGAACAATGTACAGTCCTGCACAATAATCATAGGACATTATTATGTATAGATAGTGATTTCTGGCATTTATTGTTGTGTTTACTACAAATAGCTGTACATTTCTGTGAATAAATCTTGGGTTTAGTGGCACTTATGCTCCTTATAATCTTTGATCCAGTGAAAATCCTTGGCAGATTTTTTGTCTAGCCTCGGACAAAATGGTAGTGAATAAAAAGATGGTAAATAAAAAGCCAAACTACAGGACCAGGGACACAAAAACTACACCAAAAATTCCTTTAACCACTTGTGTATGGGGTGCTCTCTCTCTGCTGAAAAACATTGTCTGCTGCTAGCCTATAAAATATTAAAAGTGGCATCCCCGTAGTTAGGATATTTACTTCAGTAGCAGTGAGGCTCCACCGTAATAAGTATATTCCTGTCTTCTAATAATCTTAACTCAGCATTGTAGGGGATTATAGTTTTAAAAATAGTAATAAAATGAGATAAGCAGAGAGGAACCCAATTATTTCTATCCCCCTGACCAACTTATTAATCTGTACAGTTAACCCTCGAAGATCTGGACTAAAAGGGGGGACCACCTGTCTGAAAAAGCCGATTGCTCGAATCCTCCGGCGAATGTACAAAATGTATAAAAATAATAAATACAGTTTTACCCCGCTTAACGCGCTTTCACTTAACGCGTTTTATCATATACGCGGTGCCTTGCCAAAGCTGAACTTTCACTTAACGCGGGTTTTTCCACAGCAACGCGGTGAGTGTCCGGCTCGGATGCCACCATAAAGTTAAGATAGAATTTTTACTACAACATAGTTATTTGTCGTCAAAAAGTGGAGTTTGGGGGTCGGGCTGGGTTCTATTGGAATTAATCCCATATGTTCTGTTATTCACTTAACGCGGTTTTCACATAACGCGGGACCCTCTGGGTTCAATTGACCGCGTTAAGTGGGGTACAACTGTACTGATAAAAAAAACACCAAAAACACATACCACATTTTTCGGTATAAAGAAGCACTCCCCATTTTAGCAGGCGGGTATTTGGGAAAAAACTTTTTTGTGTATTTTCCTCATGTAGCCATAGTTTTCTTAAAATAATTTATACAGTACCTGTACAGTACTAGTAAATGTGAGGAATAAGTGAAAATACTACCAATAAATAAGTTACAATAATTATTTCTTTTACTTTTTTCACAATGTGTATTGAGATAGTGTGTGCCTTTAACAGAGTAAAAATAAATAAGAAAGTTACGTTTATCTACCCGAAAATATGAGTTGAAAAACAACCATAACACCACACAGCTTGGCCTAGTAACCCGGTGGTTACAGTGACGAGTCTAACCCGGCTGCAATGCCTTGATTAATCACCGTTAAGCACTATTATATCAGTAAACACTAATAATACCAGTAAATCCAGTGAAATATGGCAGGGAGGGAGGAGAGTTACAAGAGCAGACAACGCTCAACTAGCAGTCACTCGACTCACTCCCCTTACTCGTACCCGTTGCCAGGCGTGCAATCGAAATACATATCTTGTAGTATAATTTGAAAACGGTGATGGGCACAGTGATAAACTAATTATATAAACCATGAATTTACTTATGATAACCCAATAAGAATTTTGTATCATTACTAGAATGAATGAAATAATATTCGCATAAACAACAACTGACAACTGTTTATGTTTCCCACCTCCTTGGGCACCTGTGTCCAGTGTGACCGACCGGGCAACCAGCGCTCACGGGCCTAAAATAGTCTTTGCTCTGTTTTGGGAATGCTTCCTAAGGAGGCTTCTTAGCCCAGAACCCCCCAATTTTTTGTCCGCATCTTCCGGAATCCAAATTTATCGGGTCTGGATCTTCTAGGGTTCACTGTGTACTTGATCGGGTGATGGAATGTTAAATGTTACTCCCTGGTTGGATACGATTGATTTTTTTTTAGCTGAAAAGGTGCAGTTTGGTATATAAAACCTGAGAATAGCATTAATTTTGGCTGTACTCACTATTTTGAAGCTCCCAGGCTAGGTGTGGCGAGCGCGACTTATGGCTACATGGTGTAACTTACTGTGTTGCCACATCATGTCTTGTTTTCTACTCTAGAACTTATATCGGCTCTTTTCCCCTCACATAATTTGACCACTTTAATCATTTATATACTAGATGTAATTTATTCTTATTAGTGATAAGTGTATCAGTTACAAATTTATTGCTTCAGACTAACATTGTTTACATAATGAACTGGCAACAATATGTCTTACCACGTATTACTACTCACACATGTGTGACCCCACAATAATTATAAGTATATTTACATATTTCACAGTTTCTTTTTCTGTTTAGTAGTTTATGTTGGTACGACATTACTCAAAGCAGGGCATCAAACACAGTGGAACTTCACGCTCGTCTTAGCAATACCTAGTGTCTTTGTTTATTTTTTCACGTAACACTGTGCTCTTGTATGCGTGACAAGGTCTCTAGGCATACTTCTTGGCCTGTGTTGAGGGCAACAAACTTTGGAAGTGGTGAGGAGAGAGTAGCTGGGTGTGTGTGTGAGTGTAATGGTGACAGGGCCAGAAAAGCCCTGTGCTTCCCCTTTTGACTGCCTTGCTTCACGCTCCATCTCCCTATCACACCTTGCCTAACAGCATCATCTGACTATAAGAGAATTTGGATGGACAGAGGTTACTGAAACAGGCTGGTGTGTCTCGAGAGGTTGCCATCTGTCATATTGTAAATATATTCATCTTTCTGGGCAATTTTAGATGTGCAGGAAATTTTATAAAGTCATAATCGTGGATCTACATAATAGATCATTCAGAGAAGGCCACTTGTGTATGTAGATATGCTAACTTGACCAATAATGGGTTAATTAAAGACTAAAATTTCGTCTGCCAGGCCACCCAGGAGTCCTCTGACAGTTACCTCAGATTAAATATGAATTAAATCTTACCACTCAACTGAGCACATTACAGGGGTATTATTATTAATGATCACAAAGTTTAAGAGAATTATATTTTACTAAGAAATTATAAACAAAATAAGCAAAGGTAAAAAAATTAAATGTACCAGTAAATCTTAAGCCAATGACCGGCACAGATCCTCGGTCCATAGATTGGGAACCACTGTCCTAAGCCACTTGTATATCATCTAACCAGGTATACAGGGTCAAAGCCTACAGCTCTTATTTGGTGAAGATTTATAATTTTCATGTGTGAAAATGTTTTCCCCAGCACAACCATCTGTAGGCCTACTGAACACTGAGGTACATCCTCTATAATAAAGTTCACTGAGGAATACAAGCCAAAAAAATGGCCTTTAAATGTTGATGATGATGATGATATTACTATGGGCAAACTTCAATATTGTTTAATCCAGGAAGAAATACTCTTGAGAATAACAGGCTAATAATCTCCAAATTTATCTCAATAATTGAAAATAGTCGGTTAATTTTACCTGTATTATGGCCGCATCATACACCAATATATTTGTACTGTAGCAATTGTTGAATATAGACTCCGGTTTGGTGATACTATAGGTATTGTCTAATGGTAGACCCTGCTACCATCTGGCAGGGTCTCAATTGTTTCTCTTACTACTGACAACACAACATACATACCGTACTGTACTGTATATTGTTTCTCACTATTGATCTTTTTTTCATTTTTGTATTTCTTTATGGTTCTTTATTATTATTATTATTATTATCATTATTATTTTAATATTTTATTTAAATTTTTTTATTTATTATAAATTTAATTTACTATGAATAATTATTATTAGTTATTATATTATTATTATTATTATTATTATTATTATTATTATTATTATTATTGTTATTATTATTATTTCTTCTTATTATTATTATTTCTTATTATTACATTTTTGCCCCCCCAGGCCCCGATGTGGGTCAGTGACCTGTGCCCGGGTGGGCTAATCCCCATAAAAAAAAAATAATTAGAATGAGAGGGTGTCTCAATAGATGTCTCAATGTGTCATAACTTTTACCTTTTAATCCTCAGTAGATCTGTTTGAAGATTATAACTACAATATGAGTATATTTTTATCCTGAATGACAGCCATAGCATCCATAGTAACCACTGATTTTGTACTTCTCCCTATGGCTAGTCAGTTTACCATTACTGTACACTTAATTTTGTTTTATGGAAGGTTTGTTGTGGATAAGATGAATTATGTTTGGGAAGATGAAAGGCTGCTGTGGTTTGTATTGTGTCGCCCACATCATACACAGGAAATATTTCATGTCACTTCATGTACAGCATAAACTATCCTTGTTCTTGTCAGCCCAGGTTTGTTTATTGTTTCATTCCACTGATTTTAATTGATAATTTTATATATTTTCTCCAATATTTGAGGAGAAAATTTTAGTTATGAAGTACAATACTCTGGTAGCATTGATGCAGCTGGATCAGTTTTGACGGCACACAGCTGCACTTTAACAAAGGTGGCATCATTGTCAACAAGAATACAGTGTATTGTAATTCCATTATTATTTATCTTTTCTATTTATTTTCAGAATAGTTGAGATTATTTCCAGCAAGTATCCAGAGTTGACATCAAACATCTCAAAATATCTCTCCATGATCAATCTTTATCAGCCAAAAACAATCAGCAGCCTCAATGATATGTAAGTCATTATGTATTACTGTTTATCATCACTACTGTATGATGAAGGCTTGAAGGTGAGATGATATTCAGTACAGGAACACCTCAGTTAGTGAATGGGTTATGGACCAAAGGACTAGTTCTTCAGAACCTGAAGGCTAGTTTCCCATTGGTGTACATGTAATTTTGGGGGGTTAGGTTCTGAATCACCTCAAAAAACTCTGTTCTTGTTTAGATTTCACCCACAGTGAAGATGTCCTTACACCTGTGACTTTCATATTGTGTTAGCTACAGTTAAGTCTGTTTGTTTTTCCCCTCAAAAATGCCCCTGAAATAATCGTACATCTTACACACCAACGGTTTAAGGTTAGGAGCTGTGACAGTTGTTAGGCTCTATGAACAAGTAGAACCATTTAAAATATGTACCACATCATTGACCTAAATACTATAGTACTCTGTCACAAGCCTTATACAGTACTGTATATACTAAAAAAAAAAATGTGTATCAGCACATTCCTTACAAATATCACAAGACTGATTAATGAGGAAGCATTGTCCGACAGCAGTATCTCATGGGATTGTCTGCTTCACTCACAGCACATTGTGGGTGTGACACCAACCCGTGGGATGTTTACATACATAAAACACTATATGGAAGTAGGAAATGTTAAATTTATGTTTATGGTATCAGGAAATCAGTAACACTAATACTGTACCAGCTTTGAATGGGTCATCCATATACTGCAGTTAATTTTTTTTTATAATATCTCGTTTAACTTTACAGGGCAAAGTATCACTTTGGTATTTTTTTCTGACTACAGTAGAAGTCCAAAAATCCTGACTGCTTGGAGATTGGGTCGGTCCGGATTTTCATATTTTCCGGATTCTCAGGCAGTACTTTTAAAATTCAAATTTAAGGAGGAATAAAGAAGAGATGAACAGATACATTTTGATAGTTTATTCATTAGCAAATATAGCATGCTTCATTTATCAAAACGAGCAGTTTTAAAGAAAAAGCTGTGATTTCTAGAATTTTTTTCTTTGCCTTTTTTATATCATAAATTGTAGACTTTCCAATGTTGTATGTTTCCATTAGAACAGTATTGCTCACACCACGTTCTATTTTAATTATTTAAAGTTTGTCACTCAATTTCAACGTGTTCTTCTTTCTCTTCACACAACGAAGTTTATCTACTTTAGGAGCCATTATTATAGGCTCTGTAAATGGAAAGAGTAGGACTCAAAATTACATACGTTGTCACAGTTTGATTGCTCGTTTTTAAAGTGGCGACCGCGTGGTCGCTTGTTGTCGCTGTGTAGCTGTGGCGCTCACGCATGCGCACATACACACTAAAGCCAGCTAAAAAAAAAAAAAAAAAGTTTGAGCTTTCGAAAAGTCCGGATTCTCGGGTGGTCCGGATTTCTGGCATCCAGATTTTTGGACTTTTACTGTAGTACCAGACCATTTTATTCTGGTGAGGGGAGCCCCTGCTTACTTAAGTGTTAAGGATATACAGCACTGTACAATATTTGAAAGTGTGAAGTATTATTTTTGTTTATTATTATACCCACAGTGGATTGCTTGTTGCATTACAGTAGCATTTATAGCTTTTTAGCACCATTCTTCATATATATAGCTTGCTTCTAATATTTGAGATGCCCAAGCCAGTTGTTAGTGTACAATAGAAAATACATCTTGAAATCCAATTTTATTTTCAAACCTGGAGCTGGCAACTTATTTACCTCCCTCCCCTGTGGGTAACTTGTTGGTGGATTTATCCAAGGAGACCTGGAAAGTTATGGTTTGTGGCTGAAACTAAACAGGGGCATAGAACATATGTACTGTACTAGCATGGTGGTCTGACCATCAACCTAAAGTGGTGACTTTTGTATCTTAAGGTCTCTTTTTCAGTACCTGAATATAATGGGAAGGTATACAGGTATACTAATTATTGAATTAATTTTAAATCACCAATGTTAAGGATTCCAGCGTAAATGACCCATAGATGTATTTATTAATACTATGTGAGGCAAGTTATCCAAGCTTGGTTATAAATTGGGATTTCACAATCATTCCTTCATTTGCTTAAAGCATTTAAACATTTCAGATTAGAGTCTCTTGAGGTTATTGCTGTAGAGAAGGATGTTGGTGTAGTGATAGTAGATTCTGTGGCCTCCTTGGCACGTAAGGAGATCATGTGTGACTCTTCACAATCCATCATAGCCAGGACAAACCAACTAGCATCATGGGCTGCCAAGTTGAAATGTATAGCTCAACAGCTCAACATCTGTGTAAGCTGAATTTGACATTGGTCAACATTGTTAGAATGATTAATTACTTTATCTCCCTGAGTGAAACCATCTAAGTTGATGTTAAAGTTTATATTACTTTATTAACAAATTGTCTCCAACTCATTTCTCCATACTTGTTGTACTATAACCTGTACTCTACTCACCTGTTTGTCTCACAGTATGTCTTTCTGTTTCTTTATACTGTATCTGTATGTGTGACACAACAAGCAAAATTTCCTCCATGGATATTTGTTTATGTGCCTACATAAGTGTATAATTGATGGTTTCATAAAAATAAGTTTAGGGATAGCTCATAGTATACCCATGATGTCATAAATATTATTGTTTTTGCATAAACAGTTTCATGTGTTATGTTCAGATGCAAACCAAATGAACTTCACAAATTCTTTGATAATTACTTGTTTTCCTTTACTCATGTAAATTAATCTTTACCCTCATCCACCAGCTTTATAATGCAGATTATAACTTTAGATAGTTTACATGTTTATTATTGAGGTTATGTGGCCTAAAAGCCATCAAAAGTTTCACTGTGATCCACACTGATAAAATATGGTCTGGTCGAGCCTACTACAGACACTTGGCTTAAAAAATTTCAATGGAGGATTTATTACCGAGGTAGAAAATGGATTATCCTGACAAGTAGCTCTTTACTGATTAAAGCCAGCTTAGTAATTGAGAGACAAAACCTTTAAGATATACTTGTCGCGCCATGCTTCCATACTCTCGATTTCTTATCACCTGCCAGACTGAACTGATCTTCTCTTACTTCTGCACCTCTCTGCTGGTTCTGCTAAAAGATCGGCTTGGATGAAAAGTAATATTCTACACTTGTAGCCTTTAATTTTGGGAGTGATGAACTCACTATACTGTATACCACTCAGTGTTGTAGCACTAACAGGAGTATGATTCATTCAAATAGTGGTATCTGGCAACTTGCGGGAGCCGAATGAATGAATGAAAGATGAAGGTGCGTGAAGGAAAAAAGGGTCAACTTACCCAAGATGATACAGCAACACAGGCCAATAATACTTGTTAGTGTAGAATATTCTGTATAAGGCCGGGCATCCATTTGCCCATGGTCCGCCTCCGCATCCATATCCGTGTCAGTTTGTCCGTGAGGTAAATATCCATATAACTGTGAAAACTACGTATGTGAGGTGTGCTTCTTTCCAAGAAAGTCACAGCAAGGCAATATGTTTCTACGGCTGCATCAAGAACTAGAAGAGTATGGCCACTTCCTTCTGATGGCTGGTATTATCCTTCACAGAGGCCATCACAATGTTAAAAAAGAAAACATAGGTGGTGGGTCCATCAAATCCTTCAAAAGTGTGGTGAACATGGTGCATACTACCACTTAGTGAAGGAATTGGAACTGGATGAGGAACAGTTTTAACATGACTTCAGACTGACTAGAGAGCAGTTTAAGCAAATACTTTACCTGGTGGAAGAATTGTAGGTGAAAGTTTGCAAGACAAGGGAGGCAATATACTCGAGGTAATGGCTAGCCATATGCTTGAGGTATATATATATATACAGTATATATATATATACAATATTGATTTACTACACATACATACATACATACCTGTTATACCAGGAATTTTTAACGCCACGGTGATAGACTAGACCTCCATATGTTGGCAACGAATATGGAGTCCCTATGTTGGGGTGACTTGGCATCATAAATGCCCGGGTTATATCTGACCAATTTTACCAAGGCCTCACAAACTTCTTGGTTGGTAAGTCTACTGGAGTCCTTGCATTTGGGCATGGTGGATGCTGTGGAAAACTAATTATCAAATAGGTCTCGTGAGTTTACATAGGTCACGTAGCCCCCACAACAGCTTCCTTGTTTCATACGTGTCCGTGAAAAATTGCTCACTGCGCGATTCTTTGCGGATGTGGACATGGACACGGAACTGATCAATGGATGCTTCTCAACCTTTTCTCATACACTCGATTTTTCACTGACACGGATGCGTACGGGGACGCGGACACGGACCACGGATCACGGACAAATGGATGCCCAGCCTAAGGCTCATTTCCTTGTTTAAAAGTTATTTTACTATTAAAACAAAAGGAAAAACGTTTGTTGCTCTTAAGTAATTATTAATTGAATAAATGTTCATAGAGGTATGCAATTTATCTAAATTTACCTTTTTTCCTAAGTAACGAATGACCTTTAAGCAGAAATTTTTTAATGTTTTACAGTACATTTTATTCCTTGGTGTTAAAAAATACAATACCTTTAGAGTATACAGTACAGAACCGTATACTGTATATGATCAGTAATTATTTATGAATACTGTACTAGGGGAATACAGTAACTAATGTTTATTTAAGCTTACAGTGGGGTATGCTATAACGAACGGATTCTACTACGAATATTCCTATAACGAACGGTTTTACCTATAAAATTGAGAATGCTATAACGAACGAAACTCCTACAACGAACATTATTTAAATTTTTTTTTTTTCTAATTTATTGTTTTTTTATTACAAATATTAATGATATTCTTTATTTCAGGGGTTTAGATGCATCTGTATGCACTTTTTTACAATTTTTACAATTTTATATTATATTTTAAAGTGTTAAGTGGTTGTATTTGGGGGCCTGGAACGGATTAATCCTATAACGAACGAATGCTATAACGAACAAGGTTCTAGAACCAATTAGATTCGTTATAGCATACCCCACTGTATATCTTTTCTAAAGCAATAACTTTGTTTTATGAATGTTTTTCCGCCTTATGTCATCACCCATTGAGGCGGTGAATTTGGAAAATATTAGTTTACATACAGTATTCAATAAATAAATCATATAAACGTGGCGAGTATGAATATTATTTAAATTCAAGTTTCTTATTCGATATTCATTTTGCCTTTACACAATTAATATATACAGTATCTATTAATTTTGACATCTGATTTTAACTCTACAAATTATTCCTGAATGTCCATGAGCAATTATCTGGTATGTCATACTATTTTGTTTCAAAATATACATAAATTTTAACTACAGCTGTACTGTACATGAAATTTTTCTTGGAATATTTCATATGAGAAATTGCTTCAGCATTAATTAATTAGTTTGCTACTATTTCACAAAGTTGCATTCCAGCTAAAAATATATAAAAAATAAGGCAAGTCTTCTAGTTACCAGACACTACTTTCTGATTGAAAATTTCTCGATTTCCTGATAAAATTTATTTGAGTGATTTTACAGTATGTTGAGTGAGAACTATCTACCACCACTAGCTTTATTCAATGCAGGATTTGGGATATTTCACAAATATACTGCACACTGTACTCAAGCAACTCTCTGTTGTTGATGTATTAATGTTATTGCAGTACTGTGCTTCAAAGACTAAGGTCTTTAAATGCATAACAAGTTTAGTAATTAAACTAGTTCATCAACAATAAAAAATTAGGAAAGATAAAACTCTTTGGCTCTATACTGTGCTACACACAATATTTGAGGCAAGTATAAACAATATGCACCAGCTTGCCAAAGTAAACATTGGGTTGTTTACAAGACAAATTAATATTTTTTTTTGTAACTTAGAGATGATGCTATATGGTTTTTATTGTTTGCATTAAGACATATAACAGATCATTGTTCCTACAACTAAAGAGCCACGTAAACACCCATAAAGGAGAGGCATTAAGTACCCCATTTTTTCCCCAACTCTAAAAGTTAACAGGTCAGTTTTGATATAGCAGAAAGGATTTCCTTTTCTGCCTGAGTTTAATCCAAAGTCAACTCCAGTTCTTTGTTCTGCTGTAGCTCACAACTATATACAGTAGTTCATGTTTTGTTAGCCTTGTAATCTCGTAAGTTTTAAGTTTGGATTGTCATTGGTAACTTTGTGTACAGTATAGGAGATTTCTTTCTATTTTTTCTATTTATTCTTTATCCCACTGTTTTTAACCAAATTGTAGGGAAGATTTTGTAATTATATTTAATTTTCTCCTTTCTTTCTACCTTCCTTTTCTTCCTTTATTTCTTAATTGGGCTAATCCCCTTAAAAAACAACAACAATAAAGTCGCGGGAAATTAAGGTTTGTTTACATCCGGCAGTTCGGCTGCTCTCTCTCTCTCTCTCTGCTTGTCTATACAGAGTACAACATTTAACCCTTCAATATATATGAGCAGTAAATAAGTGTTGCTTTCATATTCTTATGCAGAGTAATGACGATATATTTTCACATGTGCGCACTTACATACGCGCAGTCTCACTTTTTTTTTACCATTAATGGTTAGCTACTTATATTGTTCCATTTATTAACATTAAATAACATTACAGGTACTTCAAACAACCATATTAATTTTTTTACATTCATTTTACTACAGCTACACTCAGGGTCTTATTTTCTTCAGTTTTATATGTAGAACCAATCAGTCACTGGTTTTGTAAGCTTTAACATAAACAATGCCGGCAGCCGTCTCGTCTTCTCGTGTGTTTTAATATTCCACGTATTATTAATAAATTGTATTGTTAATTTTGCACACACAAACATAAATTCAATAAAAACAAATTCAGAAACATTAATTAAAATATATATGAACAGTAAATAAGTGTTGCTTTCATATTCTTATGTAAAGTAATGACGATATGTTTTCACGTGTGCGCACTTGCATACGCGATCTCTTTTTTCTTTTCTATTATCGTTAGCTACTTCTATTGTTCCATTTATTAACATTAAATAACATTACTTAAAACAACCATATTAATTTTACTACAGCTACAACCAAAGTCTTATTTTCTTCAGTTTTATATGTAGAATCAGTCAGTCACTGGTTTTGTAATCAACAAAAACAATGCTGTGTCATTTCCTTGTGTGTTTTAATATTCTACGTATTATTAATGAATTGTATTGCTCATTTTACACACATAAACATTAATTCAATAAAAAAGACATTCAGTAATAAACAATAATGAATCTTTTGTACATAAGAGAAATGAGGCTGTTTACACGATTATGCACGTCGTCTGCACGTTGGCGGGCCGTTCAAACCCGTCGAAATTCAAGTTTCCGCCGTCAAATTTTTTTTTTTTTTTTTCCAATAAAATACGTTGAATTAAAGACTCGCGAAATTTGAGAAGCTACTATACGACATTTAACCCTTCAATATGTCTTCAAAGAGACCATGATGCAGAGAAAGTGGTGCTAGTGCTTCCAAGCATAAGCACAAGTCACTATCTATCCAGGAAAAGGGTGAATTTCCATGGTCCGGCACCGGTCAGGTCCCGAGGTTGCCGGACTAGAGAGGTACAACCTGTAGTATATTATATTTTATTTAATATTTTTTATTAATTTTTATTAAATTTTATTATTATTATTATTATTATTATTATTATTAGTATAAGTATTATTATTATTATTATTATTATTATTATTATTATTATTAGTGTTATTATTATTATTAGTGTTATTATTATTATTATTATTATTATTATTATTATATTTTTGCCCCCAGGCCCTGATGTGGGTCATTGACCTGTGCTCTGGTGGGCTAATCCTGTAAAAAACTCCTTGTCTGTTATGATGAGGTCCAGTGACTCTGGTGTTTGCTCCCCTCTGAAATGGGTTGGATCTTTAACATGTTGAAACAGATAATTTTCTCTCAGAGTTTCTACAAAAAGAGTAGCGGGGTTATTTATGTCATTGGACATGGTCTCATTTCTCCAGTTAATGTTACCATAGTTAAAGTCCCCCATGACAAGGAGGTGGCTAGGGTTGAGCACCATTGCATTGTCTATTAAGGCTCTTAAATTCCTTTGGTTTAATAAGCAACAATTTGGGGATCTGTAGATACACCCGTCAATAAGTAAGTCTCTTCCTTTTAATTTAATTTTACATCACTTTGATTCTTCAAAAACATCCTCCCCTTTACCCTCACCTGGCTGGCTCTAAGTGCTTGCCTAGCACAGATAACCACACCCCTCTTGCAAGATGCTTGAGAAAGGTTCGTAATTGAGTCGTATCAGTCTATACTGAACTCACATTCTTCTGTGTCGATTCTCCTGTTCTTGCACAACAGTTCTACAACTCCTACTATATTGGATTGATGTACCATCAGTATTGTTTCAAACTTTTTTCTAATCAAGGAACGTGTCTGTATTAGTGTATATGACTTTCAAGCCGGAATTTGTTCTCGGTAACGTCTCTGATCTTGGAAGTGACTCCGGCCTCCCTCCCTCCCAAGCAGCTGCAGCATTTGCTAAATACATTATATTTTGTGGGGTGTGGTCAGAGTTGACATCGTTGACATGGCACTTACCTCCTCCTGGGTGAGAGGTAGAGAGGGTGGGGGGTGTCCCACTGCCCCCTGGCTCTGTGCTGGTACTCTTACCACCACTATTTTCCCTTATACAGTATATAAACCATGCATGTCTGTCCCTGTTCCTCATCGACTCTTCCCTCCTCTGCTTCAAGCCCTGTAGGAGTTTTTATGCTGTTCCCTCTGCATTACCGTGTGATGTGGGTGTATGAATATATTCCGAAATGCATCGCTCCTTGCTAAGTTTTTTGCCTGCCGAATAACTTTCCATTTCGTATCCACATTCACTAGTGTGAGCCTGAGGGGGCGAGGCTTGTCCTTCTGCTTTTGTCCTAGCCTCCGCACATCCTGAGGGGGGTTGAGATATTCGGAGCCTCTGTACAAAAATTCTCAAAATTCATTGAGTGTCTGTAACCTCTTCCCAGAAAAAAATTACAAGTGGATTATCTATTTATTTTCTAAACTGTGATTCCTGTGACCAGATTGGGGCCTATGATTGATGATGTGATTAAAACAGTACATTAGATTCAGCATCATGACCTGGCACATGTATATTGCTAGTTTTGGCCGACACATTAGCCCCCCCATTTTCATGCTCGCTCTCAATACAGGCCTGAATCCTACCACATATGAACTTCACATTTTATAGTGTTTGAAGGTAATAATTTATAGCTAAGCTAAAATATAATTTTATTTAGATTTTTTGCTATTATCCAAGGACAGAATATGCTGATACTGTATTTGTAATGAGGTAAACTATCTGAAAGTGAATCTCAGAAAAAAATCTACAGATATAGGAAATTACTCATGGAATGGGAAAGATTGTCATGTACAGTACAGCTTTATTTCAGGTTGTGGTCACTAACCAGGTCACAACAAGGTTGGTGAAAGAGGCTCCTCAGGTTACTGAGGAGATGCAAGGTGTTGATGGGGAAGAAGATGAACTAAATACAGGTACGTACACCACTTTTGTTGTCTATATAGGTACTCCTGAGCATGCTGATTCTGAATACAATATAAGGTCCAAGATTCGACTGCGGGGTAATTAGTAGTTGTAATGACGCTTGGACAATTTAATGAAATTTTTCAATGCTAATTTATCTCCAATTATGCATTTCGTAAGTGCAATTTTGGTGTTAATGTGTTATTCTGTAAGTACTTAATTAGTTAAACCCCTTAAATTTTAATTTTGAGAGAAATGTATATTTTGGTCGAAAAATTATTAAGGTGTAAGACTTACATTTTCGACAATTTTGGTCCAAATTAAATTTTGTTGAAAATCACATTATAGGTACTCTTGAGCATGGTGATTTCGAATATGAGGTCCACGATTCAACTGCGGGGTAATTAGTAGTTGTAACGACGCTTGGAAAATTTAATGACATTTTACAATGTTAATTTACCTGTACGTATCTCCAATTTTGGATTTCGTAAGTGTTATTTTGGGGTTAATGTGTTATTCTGTAATTAATTTATTAGTTAAACCCTTAAAATTTTCATTCTGAATGATATATTATATTTTGGTTGCAAAATTACTAAGGTGTAATTACTGTATAGGTACTCCTGAGCATGTTGATTTCAAATATGAGGTCCACGAAATCAGTATACCGTGTATATATATATATATATATATATATATATATATATATATATATATATATATATATATATATATATATATATATATATATACACACACACACATATATATATATATATATATATATATATATATATATATATATATATATATATATATATATATATATATATATATATATATATATATATATATATATATATATACACACTAATGTATTACTGTACACTACTTTGATAGGGTCAAGAGAGAGAACATTCTCATACCATGTGATTCCAGCTTTGGGTAATACCTGGACACACTGTGTAACTACTCGCCTCATCTTGCAGTTCACAAATTCTGAAGTTAGACAGGTAAATAAGATGTCATTATTTCTATTCCATATTGTTGCATTTACAATTGATTACCATTTATCGGTGCTGCTAGTGCTGTACAGTATCCATAATCAAATACCATATTAGACAATATAGGGGTACTCTGAAATTTAATAATTCTTTACTTTGGTTTAACTAGTAATGGAATCCCAGACTTGTGTACTTATATACTGTACTGTAAACCTGCAAAGAGAACCTGTAGTAAAATTTCATGAAAAAGCCAGGTAACAGTGGCTAACCCACGCAAGTGTGGAATATGACCATAAACCGTGATGATGATGATAAATGACTGGAAAGTATCAATACAATGTCGGTATTAAATTAAATCACAGACTGTGACACAACCACAGGGAGAAGCCATACAGTAGTCATGGATGTGACCACAGCATCATAACAAAATATTTGATTCAATAAGGAAGAAATTCTCTGCCCTTTCCTGGGCTGAATCATCACTCTTGAAAACTTTTTTCATGTCCATATCAAGGTCTCGAAAATATGTAATCTTATATGTTTATTAATTGTTTTGATAACAACTAATGTGTAATTTTTTTTATATTAGCTTACAATTGCAAAATCACCAGTTGCACCATTTGCAACTTTCCACTACACCATTGACAAAGAGGGCATATTTATTCAAGGTACGTACTGTAATGTCTTTATGTAAGAAGTGTTGGTGACTAATAAATATATCTTATAACTTAACACTCACAGTCTTGGACACAACTGATTTGCCTGAGAAGTTACGCTATACTAATGGTCATGAACTCACTGGTTGCGTCTTCAAGATACAAATAATTGCCTTTCAAAAACTATCCACTATGGACACATGAAATTTAGGTGCAGTACAGGTTGTAGTATGAAGATCCATGGTATATCCATGTATAAACAGTAATAATAAAATATTACACTGATAAATAAGTGTAACACTTACATTGCCAAGTGAACCGATAATATGTAGATGATATATAAATCCATGGAGAACACTAGTGTTCATACTAGTAGTAAACAGCACGGTGCTTGTCAAACGTAAGTCGGACGTTCGTAAGTTGGGTACCCCCTGTACTACTACTACTACTACTTTGCTGTCTCTTGGAATTGAGTATGATGATCATCCAACTATGATACAATGATATGAGTTGTTAAGGATGTCAACTTTGTTGGTGAGCTCTGAGGTGACTCGAGAGACCAATACGGGACTGGCAGGGCCGTCCATAGATGTGGCACTTGTGGAGGGCTACATCTAGTGCGGGAGGGGCGGTGGCAGCGTCTTTCCAGTGCTGGTGCTTGTCTGCCTCGGTATGCTTTTGGGTTAACTCGAAAGTATTGACACCTTGTGTGGTGCTCCTCCAAGTGTTACAGTGTGGAGTAATCATCTTCCAGGTGAGGGAGTCAATTTAGCACTTTTACAGGTTTGTTTAAAGACTACTGTATCCTTATACCTTTTCTGTTGCCCGCCAGTGTTATGTTTGCCAATCGTTAGGTGGCAGTAAAGTAACTGCTCTGGCAGTTTACTGTCGTCCATGCAGGTAACATGGTCAGTCCAACGTAGTTGTTCATGGATAATGGTAGGCTCGATGCTCCTACAGTTGGTGCCAGTGTGAATACTGGCATTTGTGCATATACTGTACAGTACAGTAGGGTCACAAAGTATGGGGGGTTTACATTTTGAGGATCCCTGCATAATTGCAAATTCTCTCATATTCAGGTCCCCCATTTTTTATACTATGGTAACTGACACACACCTGCAGAGTTCGTTATGCTATTCCTTATTGAATCCAAAATCTTGACTTTCTTCAACAGTTCTCACAGTATGCACTTTTGAAGGGGGGGGGGGGGGCTCTCACCACCACTAGTACTGCTACTAATTTTCCTCTTAGGGGCCATGATTGCGGTAAAATTTACCGGTAAAGAAAAACCTTATGAGTGCAAATGCTTGGGAAATGTTCACTGAACCAGTGCAAGAGAGAGAAGGACATCTTGGCAATAATTTAGCCTACAGTACCATACAAACAACTGTATGAGCGAACACAAATACAGTACAGGCATTAAACCTACGGTACCATATGAACACTTTAAATATACAAATAAACACTAAAACCATCTTCTGACTCAGAGATGTGTGTGTGTGTTCATGTGTGTGTGCACGTGCGTGCATGCGTGCATGCATGCGCCATAATGTTACATTGGGGGAAGGGAGGGTGAATGGGTGGCAGTTACAGCCCATTGCCTCCACACATACACACCCATACTTTTCATTGACATGTTACTATAGATGTTACCATCCTAAAGCTTTATGAAACCTGTGTTTAAGTTTCGTCGAAGCTTTGGGTAAATCTGAGTGTTGTTACTGGCCGTACATCATTAGATTTGGCTGTTTCTTGTTCATTTGATTAAATTGTTAGGTATGTGGTGTACCTCTATGTTTGTAGTGATGTCAAATATGTTTTTTTTTTCAGACTGTGAGAGATTCTATTCTTATTCGGGATCAGATCCAGGTCTTCATCAAATAAAAGTTCAGAAAGGTTTTATTGTTTAGCTCAGTCACAGTTTTGAAGTACTGTATATCTCCAAAACTGTATGTAACCCAGATATTACATAATGAAGCTGCCTCAAGTATTACTTATCACATTTATTACGTCTCGCTTCCAGTAATAATTCACAAAATACCTGTCAGACATGTTTTAGTTGTACAGTATTATTTGACTTTGAATCAAACAAAATATTTATGTGTACAGTTGATAAATGAATGAATTAAAATGTGTTTTTTATCTTTTATTTAATATTTCTCCTTTTACCTAATTTTTAATTACAGTAGGCCTACCACTTTTGCATTTATCTCATGCTGGGAAAAGCACAGCATAGGTGAAAATCATGTAAGTGATGAGCATAATTTACATGTTAAAGGGTCAATTGATACTGGCCAAAACCACTTCCATCCCCCACTTTTCCAAATAAAGTACCTAAACCATACCCGAAACTGGACACACACACACACACACACACACACACACACACACACACACACACACACACACACACACACACATAGATAGGTAGATATTTTATTGACCACAAATTATGTATACAGAGTTTACACTAAAATTTTACATAAAATGGTCCAACTGCAAATGCTTTCAAATACCAAACATTAATAAAAGTTCACTGATTCAACCAGTAACTCAAAAAACAGAGGGGAAACTATGAGTAAATAAAGTTAAAAAAATAACTACAACTAAACATGCAAAATAGTTCTGGGTAATGGTATGTCCCTGTGACTTCTAACTATATATTGTACATGAAGTATTCGATGAACCACACACACACACACTGCAGACATACTTAGGTACGTCCAGGGTGTCATCCGCATATTGTTAAATCAGGGCATGCTATATATATATATATATATATATATATATATATATATATATATATATATATATATATATATATATATATATATATATATATATATATATATATATATATATATATATATATATATATATATACTCGGACTTCACATATAACCTCACACCAGAGGGCACCACCTACCTGGTAGGTCCCTGACCAACAACAACTTATTCCCTCCTGCTGCACGCAGCCCAAATACTGCTCTGAGATACACTGCAGGCGCGGACCTCTGAGGTCCTGGGGACGCCACCGCTCCTGGGGACACTAAAGGCCCAGCAGCACTGAAGGGTTCCCTAAGCCGGCGCTCCTAGAGACCCCTGGGCTCGCCACCCACCTAACCAGGTCCCAGCTGGCACCCGGACCCGTGGTATTTCCCAGGCTGCTGCTACTGGGAGGCCTTGAAGCACGGCCGCCCTGAGAGGGCCTAGATGCCACCATCAACTGAAAGGGCCCCTGGCAACAGCAACTGTTCTAGGAGGGCCCCAGAGGATGCCACCACCCTGGCCAAGCCCCCTGGGCACCTGGTGGACATTGCTTTGTGGTTGCTTGCACACCTCTACACCCCTGGGGAGGGGGCCCCTAGAGTGCTGCATTTTCGTTCATATTATTTTTTCCAAAAATTTCCGAAATTTTCAAAAAATTTTCGAAATTTTCAAATCTCAAAAATTTTCCCAAATTTGCAAAAATTTTCTAGATTTTCAAAAGAATTTTCAGAAATTTTCCAAAATTTTCAAGAAAAATTTCAAAATTTTCAAAAAAATTTTCAGAAATTTTTCAAAATTTTTCCAAATTTAGTAAATTACCAGAATTTTCAGAATATTTCAAAAATTTTCAGCTTTCAAAATTTTCAAAAATTCTCCTAAAAATTTAAAGGAAATTTTCAGAAAATTTCTGAAATTTTTGAAATTGGAGTAAATTTTGAAGAACTTTTATGAGCTAATTTCTGAAAAATTTGAATTAGAAGATTACGGAACATTTTGGAAAAATTTCAAAATTTTGGAAAATTTTCTGAAATTTCTGAAAAAGTCCTTGAAATTTTTGGAAATTTTCTGAAATTCTTTAAATTTTAGAAAATTTTTGAAAAAATTTTGGAGAATTTTTTCAGAAAGTTACGAAAATATTCTGAAAATTTCTGAAAATTTTTATGGAATTTTTGCTGGAAAATTTTGGAGAAAGGAATTTCTGAAAAGAACTTTGAAATTTCCTCCCAAAATTTTTCCAAAATACCAAAATTTAAAAAATTACTTTCCCAAGTACTAAATTTTCAGAAAATTTCAAAAGGTTCTCAGCTTTCAAAATTTCAGAAAATTTTCAGAATTTTTCAAAAAATTTTAAAATTTTCAGAAATTTTCAGAAAATTTTTCAGGGTACTGAAAATTTTCAAATTTCGAGGAATTTTTCCAAAATTTACCAAAAATTTGCCCAAATTTTTCAGAAAAATTTCCAAAATTTTTCAACTTTAATTCTCAAAAATTTTCAGAGAATTTTTCCAAATTTTCGGAAATTTCCAAAAATTACAGAATTTCAAGAATTTACCCAAGAAATTCCCAAATTTTCCAAATTTAGTAAAATTTTCGAAATTTTCAGAAAATTTTCTGGGAATTTTCGAAATTCCAAAATTTAAAAATTTTCAGAAAATTCAAAATTTTTCAAGTTACACAGGGCACTTTCCAAAATTTCAATTTTCAATTCAATTTTCCCAAAAATTTTCACCAAATTTTCAAGAAAATTTTCAAAAATTTAAAAAAATTTTAAAAAGTAACAAAATTTCCAAAATCTAAATCGAAAAATCAGAACTTAATCAGAAACCGAAAATACACAAAATTTTTCCAAAATCTAAAAAATTTTCAAAACTTAAAATTCAGGACCAAAATTTCAAAAATTACCAAAAATTTAAAAATTACTCAAGATTTTCAAAAATTACCAAATTTTCTAAAAATTTCAACACAAATTTCCCAAGACCAAATTTTCAGAAATTTCCCGAGTTTTCCATAAAATTTTCAAATTACAAAATTCAAGTTCTTACAGAAATTTTCGAAATTTCAAAATTTTCTCAAAAAACTCTAATTTTCTAATTTACTACAATTTTCCCCCAAAATTTTTCAAAATTTTCACAAAATTTCTCTCAAGACCAATTTTAGAAATTTCAACCAAAATAAATTCAAATTTTAAATTTCAATTTTACCAATTTTCAAAAATTTCAAATTTTCAAAAATTTTCAAAAATTTTCAAAATACTTTCCAAAAAATTCATACTCAAAATTTCTAAATTCTGAAAATTCAAATATATAAAACAAAATTTCCAAAATTTTCCAATTTTACAAAAATTTTCCACAGACTTTTCGAAAATTTCAAAATTTTCAGAATTTTCGAAATTTCAAGAATTTCGAAATTCTAAAATTTTCCAAGATTTACCAAAATTTTCAGAAAACCATTTCAAATTACCCGTGCAAAATTCAATTTTCAAAATTCAGAATTTTCAAAATTTTCCAAAATTTCAAATTAATTTTCAAAAATTTCAAATTTTCAGACCAAAATTTCAATTTTCCAAATTCAATTTACACCAAATTTTCACAAAATTCTCTAAACCAACTTTCATACTTTTTCAAAAATTTCAAAAATTTCAAGTCACTAATTACCAAAAATTTTCAAATTTTCAAAATTTCACCACCAAAATTTCAAAAAAATTTCCAAGAAATTTTTCATACCAAAAATTTTCTACCAAAATTCACAAAAATTTTCAAAAAATTAACAAAATTTTCCAAAATTTCGAAATTTTCAAATTTTCCAATTTCTACAATTTTTTCTAAAAATTTACCAAAATTTTCAGAAAAATTTCGAAATTTTTCAAGAAATTTTCCAAAATTGGAAAATCTGGAAAATCTCTGAAAAATCTAGAGATTTTTTGGAAAATCTAGGGAGATTTTTTGAGAAAAAATCTGGGGAAATTCAAAATTTTCAAAATTCAACAAATTCTCAAAATTAAAAATTTCCCCAGATTTTTCAAAAATTCCCCTAGATTTTTCCAAAATTTCCTAGATTTTTACAGAAATTTCCCCAGATTTTTCCAAAAGATTCCCTAGATTTTTCAGAAATTTCCCTAGATTTTCATAAATTTTCGAAATTTTTCAAATTTTCAAAATTTCGAAATTTTTCCAGGTACCGAAATTTTTTAAATTTTTCGAGAGTGCTTTTTCTTGAGTGCTCGAAATTTGCCTCTAAATTTTCGAAATTTTCCAAAAGAGTTACTAAAGATTTTTTTTCAGAAAATTTCCCAAAAATTGCTGGAAATTTCCTAAGTCTAAAGTGCTTTCTCCAGAAATTTCGGTTTTCCCAAATTTCAAAGTGCAAAACTCCAGAATTTTCAAAATTCCTGGTGCAAAATTTCTAAATTTCCAAAATTTTTTCAAAATTTTCGAAATTTTCCAAATTGTAATTGCCAATTTTCCAGGTGCTAATTTTTCAATTCTCAAAATTTTCAAATTTTCCAAAATTACCCAGGAAATCTGGAGATGCAATCTCGCTAATCAGGGACTTCAGGAAAATCTGAAAATTACTGGAGAAAATCTCAAATTTTTAAAAGGTACTGAAAACAGGTTTTCAAAATTTTGAAATTTCTCAGATTACCAAAATTTCCCTAGATTTTCGAAATTTCCTGATTTAAAATTTCTGATTTCAAAAATTCTCGTTTTTCAGAAATTTCCTAGGTTTCCTCAGATTTTCGAAATTTTCAAAATTTTCGAAAATTTTCGAAATTTTCGAAATTTTCACCAAATTTTCCAAAATTTACCAAATTTTCAAAATACTCAAAAATTTTCCCAAAATTCTCAAAAATTTTCAAAATTTTCAAAAATTTTCAAACCCAATTTTCAAAATTTTCAAAATTTCAAAATTCTCCAAATTTTCAAAATTTTCGAAACTTTCAAAATTTTCGACAAAATTTTCAAAATTTCAAAATTTCATACAGGAGAATCTAAGAACATCCTTAGAAATTTACTGGAAAACATTTTCGAAATCATCAAACTCAAAAATTTCAAAAATTTTCAATAATTTTCAAAAAAAATTTTCCAATTTTTAAAAAATTTCAAATTTTCAAAAATCCTATTCCAAAACTCTGAAATTTAAAAAAATTCCCTAATTTCAAGAAAATTACTAGATACTCATAGATTTTCGAAATTCCGAAATTACCGTAAAAATTACCACTTCCAAAATTTCGAAAATTACAAAATTACAAAAATTCAAAAATACTAAAATTTCAAAATTTTCGAAATTTTCCAAATCTCAATTTACTCCCAAAATTTCAAATTGCAGTTACTCAAATTACTCCAAAATTACCAAAATTACTCAAATTCTCAGAA